TTTTTTTTTTTTTTAATTTTTTTTTTCCCCCAAAGCCCCAGTAGATAGTTGTATGTCATAGTTGCACATCCTTCTAGTTGCTGTATGTGGGACTCAGCCTCAGCATGGCCGGAGAAGCGGTGCGTTGGTGCACTCCCAGGATCCGAACCCAGGCCGCCAGCAGTGGAGCGTGTGCACTTAACCGCTAAGCCACGGGGCCGGCCCTAATATACATTTCTAAGGACAAATTATTATTATTATTGTTTATATTTATCTTAGTATGTGAAAGCATTCTTAAGGAGCAATTTACACTTGTACATTTCCAACAAATTTTTAGTGGCTTAAATGTTTTGAACTTACCATCTAATAAAGACTGAAAATTCAGGTCAACAATCTTCCTATGAGCGTTGCCCAGAAAAGAGAGACCAACTAGGAAGAACCAGAATAAGGACAGTATTTCTTTTTATTATGTGATTTTAAGCCATAAAACTCATAAAACTCAGTACTTTAGAATCTTACTCTTTCTGAGTAGCAGGGCTTTTTCATAGGCATTTGAAAGTTTATCCTTGAATCATATTGTTCTCTGTCTATGGTAAAGGCTCCCCTTAGACTGCTGAACTACACTGACTGGCAGGCCTTTGAAGGAAATTTAAGGTATAGTACATTTACAGTAAATTTATCAAGCCTCTGCCTTTGACCCTTAACTTCTGTGCAAAGATAGTATTATTTTCAGGAACCATATAAGGAAAATGGCTATGACCTCCCACACCTTTTGACTGTCTTTGTACAAATACTGTAAAAATAATTTATGCTTTTACCACTACAGTAATGAGTTTTAGCTGGCCAGGATAGCTGCTTGTTCTTCCAGACTATACAGTTATCTCTTGTCTCTCAAATTCTGATTCTTTTCACTTTGTTGCATATTTTCTATATGTTAGGCGTTGTGGATACAACAGTGAGACAAACAGACATGATCAATCTATGCTCTCAAGAAGCTTACAGCTCAGAGGGACACACAGATAACTGCACTAATAAACACACCAAGAACTACAAACTGTGATAAGCGCTATTAAGGAAAACTGCAGGAAGCAATGAGAACAAATAACAGGGGGGCAAGTAGCAGAGGGAGTAGGTAAAATGAAAGTCATGGAAAACTTTCCTGAGAAAGTGATAACTCAGCTGAGCTCTGAAGGATTATTAGTAGAAATTTATTTAGTGAAGAGGGGATGCTCTGGTCTGAATGTTTGTGTCCCCTTCAAATTCATATGTTGAAATCCTAATGCCCAATGTGTTGGTTTTAGGAAGTGGGACCTTTGGAAGATGCTTAGATCATGCGGGTGGAGCCATTATAAGTGGGATTAGTGCTCTTATAAAAGAGAGCCTGGAGAGCTAGCACAGCCTTCCATCATGTGAGGATATAATGAGAAGTCTGCAACCTGGAAGAGGGCCCCACCTGACCATGCTGGCACCCTGATTTCGGACTTCCAGCCTCTGGAACTGTGAGAAATAAATTTCTCCTGTTTATAAGCTATCCAATTTATGGTACTTTTGTTCTAGCAGCTCAAACAGACTAAGACAAGAGAGCGAGCTTCCAGGCATAAGAAACCTCAGTATGAAGGTCCTGAGGTAGGACTATGACTAAGCATAAAGACCATGATCTTTTAAGGAAATGAAAGAAATCCATTGTGGTCAACATGCAGAAAACAGTATAAGATGAGGCAGGAAAAGATGGAAAAATTCAATTCATGCAGGGCTTTACAGGCTATATTAAATATTTTGATCATTAGTCTAACAGTAGTAGGCACATGATCAGATTTTCAACAATCACAATAGCTTCAGGAAGGAGAATGAATTGGAGAGGAAAAAGAGAAGATCCAGAAAGACCAGTTGGAATGTTACTGTAGTCATCTAGGTTAGAGATGACTGTTGACAGAAGAGATGAAGAAAAGTGTTTGAATATTAAGAAATTAAAATCAACAAGTCTTATTGATGATTTAGATATACCCGGTGAGCAAGAAAGAGGTATAGAGTGATTTCTAAGTTATAATTTTGGACCCGGATGCAAGTTGATGGTATTCTTTGAGAAAAGGAAGTTTTAAGGAGAATCAGGTTTGGAGGCTGGGAGATTTTGAAGATCCTAAGTTCCAATTTGCCCATGCTAAAGCTAACTGTTTCAAGAGAAAAGATCTAAACATACTGACAGGAAACTTCAACAAAACAGCTAGGACTCCGTCTAGTCACCATATGGTGATGTCTATCTACTATGATAAGCCCACCAACACACACAGAACTTCCAGTTAACTTCTTAGGTTAACTTAAGTACAAAAAAACAGTCAAGAGTCACCAGCCATTAGAGTAAATCCTCTATTACAAAAGACAGATGGGAAAAAGGAACTCAGAGTAAACAGTGTGAAGTGCACGTTGATCCATTATTTGGATAGACAAAATTTCTATCGTCTAATGTAATTCAACAAAGGGCAACTTTCACTAGCTGAATTTTCATTTTATTCTTTAACAAAGTAAAATTCTATTATCACTAATTAAAGTGATTGCCTCTTCTAAGATTTTCAGCAGTGCTATCATTATGTCAATAGTTATTATTGTATTAAAATAAAGATTTGAATCTTTGGTGAGTTTAGCCATACATTTTTCTGCAGAGGAATTATCTTACTTTTGCTACTCACCTACTGGCTCTCCAAAGGTGATGGTGAGTTCTATTGTGTCAAAAAGAAAGGTGAATACAGCTTGATTATCACTCCACTCAATGACATCCCACTCAGACAAACTGGAAAGAGATAAACAAGACCAACATTTTTTGAGGGGGAATAAAAGAAGAGAGTTAACTTCTGATACCACCCAAACAGTACTAGCAGCAGCTGCTGGAGTTTTTCTACTGGCTTGGGAGACAATCAATATTTTAATTCAAATATTGTGAATGTACAAATTTATGCTTTTGAAAGAAGTAAGAATTGACTCAATCTTGAGTTGTGTATCAGGGAAAAACCAAGTCTAGGCAATATAAAGTGTTAAATATTTTAAAATTATAATTCCACAGCACTCCTACCTTGTATATTTTCAGCTTAGTGTTGAGTACACTGACTCTTTTTGAGGTTGCATTGTTAAACAGTGATATACATTACAAACACATGTCAACTGCTATAGTCAGTTTAGACAACCATGAAGGCACAGGATAAAACACAAACCATTGACACCTGTTTGTCCTTACCTCAACTGATCCAGTAGCTCTTTAGTTCTATTTGTTTGTTTTTGCACAAAGTCTATTTGAGCGAGGGTCTGCTCTTTCTGTACCTCCAGTTCTAAGAGATTTCTGCAAATCAAATTAGGTATTCACAAAAAGGTAAGGCCATCGTTAGGGAATTTGAACTCCACTAAAATAAAAGGTTTATAATAAGAAGTCACATGCTAAATGGCTCCTCAGTGAGGTGAACGGCATCCAAATTTTTGCATTCTTAGTTTTTTTTTTTTGATGAGCATTAATCTAGAAGTATGAGTCTAATTAGGAAAGGCCTAAATCAATGTCTCTCAAATTAGGATCCATGAAAATTTCTTTGGGGGTTCATATGTTCTTTAAGATTATTATTAAAATTTACATTTTCACTTTGATGATAAAAATATAAGGATAATGGAGATCACAACAATTCCCACCTTAAAACTGAGATATGCTATAATTTTGGTGCCTGCCATTGGTTTTGTTTAGTTTATTGGAGCTAAACAGAACTTATGCTTTGTTAGTCATTTTGCTAGCATCAGTTTATTTTCAGCCAAACATTATCTCCTGTCAGAGTAATGTTGTCAATTGGAATTTTATTTGGTTTTGTCATTATTTGTATTTGATTTCTTTTAGTCTTATAGTTAAATAAGATCCATGAGTATAAGAAATATACAACTCATTTTATGTTTACTTATACTTACTTAAGTACAATATAAAAGCAGTTTAATGCTAGGTTTATTTCTTTAAAAGGATCCTGATATTATTCAAGCTTGAGAAACACCACCTTGGATTAATGCCCTGTAAACAATAAGTGCTTAGAAAATACTTTCGACTAAGACGGCCTCAAGGGTCAAGTTCAAAGTGGAGCAGAAGCCTTGAGTCAGCCTTAGTCAATACTTATGTCCCCAACCTTATCAGTTTCTGAAGGTAAGAAGTCATTTAGCCTTGTAAAGTTTAGCATATTTTTTAACACTCAAACTGAAGGCTGACCTTTGAAGCTCTTCTTCTTCAGTTTTCAGCTGTTCCAATTCTTTGAAAAGAAACACAAAAACAAATTTATCAGAATGGACGCATTAAAACGTTGCTACAAAAATCACGTTTTATTGAAATTCTATCTCATTTAATCTTACCTAAATAAATAAACTCAGGACAATAGGTTTTTTTTTTTTCCATTTACCTCCTTAATTAATTCAGTTACCTTTCTCTGCAGCTCTCATTTCAGAATCCCATTCTTCCACATTGTCTTTCTCTTCATCCTCCAAATTCTTAGTTTCTAAAGTAGACAATGTGCATTAGAATAACTCAGTCAAAAATAAACCACTAGAGATGAAAAGAATAGATGGTCCCAAAATGAAGTGTGAAGAATATTTCACAAACACTCATCTTTCTCCACCTTTCCTTGCCAATAGACCATGGAGCAGTAATTATAATTTCATACAAAGACTTGCTTCTAGTGGCAGAGAAGTGAACTTTGAGCCATGTGGCAATGATCTCCAATAGCACCCTCTCAGGGGTCACTTTGAGATGGAAATTGTTTATGTATAATTTGCATATATCAATGTTATTGTTAGGCAACCCCATGGACTAAGCAGGAACAGATACTCATATACAAACACATGCACACACATTAAAAAATTTTTTTTAATTTTTTGTTTATTGCAATAACATTGGTTTATAACATTGTATAAATTTCAAAAAATATGGAACGCTTCACGAATTTGCCTGTCATCCTTGCGCAGGGGCCATGCTAATCTTCTCTGTATCGTTCCAATTTTAGTATATGTGCTGCAGAAGTGAGCGCTTAAATTTTTAATTTAATTTGTTTTTGAAGCCTTGAAGTCATCCTTAAAATCCCTCTCTCTCCCCACATCCAAATCAAGCTTAGACTTTTACCTCAAAAGTATTTTTTGAATCTACTTTTTTTCTTCATCACCACCAGCTTCCCTAAATATAAGCTACTGTCCTTTCTAAACCATACTACTCCTTTCTAAGCCATACTAGTCCAATAACTACTTAACTTAGAGTTACTCTTGATCTATTCAAATCCAATCTCTATACTGCAACCAGGGCTTGACACCCTTCAAATGGCACTTAACTGTTCTTAGAAAAAGTCAAAACTCCTTAAGAGGCCATCTTTGGCCTGGCCCCTAGTAACATCTCCAGCTTTATCTCAGACCATGTTCCCTTTTGCTCTCTCTATTCTAGTCACATTGGCCTATTTCAGACCCTTATAATTGGTACATTCTTTCCCGTAGAAGGCCTTCTGCATGTATTATTCATTTTGAATAGTATGCTTTGTCTTCCCTTCTCACTTTAACTCCTACTCATTCTTTAGATCTTGGCTTAAACGTCATTTCCTCAGAGGGAAGCCTCTCCTGACCTGACTAGGTCAGATTTCTGTTTCAGGACATTACAGCACCATGTAACCTCTCTACCATAGCACTTACCTGAAAATTATTTGTTTAATTCTTATATTCTCTTCTAGCTCCATTAGGGCATAAAGTTTTTGTTTTTAATCATCATAGTTTTCTTAGCACCAAGCACTGTACATGGCACATAATAGATACTCAGTATATTTGCTCAAGGAATAAGGAAGGGACAAGAAAGAAATAGGGAGCCATTCAGTGGTACTGGAGAGGTAAGTGTGGTTGTTGGTATTTTTAAAGATGAGAGAGAGGTGAATATATCCAGTAGAGGAGGCAGAGAGGTTGAATATACAAGAGATAAGGGAAAGTCAGTGCTATACAATTCCTAAGAAGACAAGAGGGGATGGAATTCAAAGTTTATGTGAAAAGATTGGTTTTAAGGAAAAGAAAGGAATGATGAAAGAATGGATATAGAAATATATAAGTTTGGTTTGTTTGGTAGCAGAAAGTTTAGAAGTTCTGGCCTAATGGCTTCTATTTTTTTTTTTTTTTTGTGAAGTAGAAAGTAAGGTAATAAACAAAGGTGGGGGGCAGTTTACGACCATGGAACTCACATACTTATTATCAGTTCATGGAACTCACATACTCATTATCAATTCAATGCAGAAAACATGTACTAGGTACTTACTCTGTGCAAGGCATAGTGCTAAGAACTTGGAAGGATATGGAGAAAAATAAAAGCTGATCTTTGCCCCCACAGAGCTTACAATTTAGTTAGGAAGATAAACTATAAAAAAGTAACTACAATTACGAGTAGATGTGATAGGTACTATAAGAAGTACTAACAAAATAGCCACAGTAGCTCAAGGGAGACAGAGACCACTTCCTTTGGTAGAAAACAGAAAGAGAATGCATTAGCAAAGACCAAGTGGCAGGACTGCGTAGAAATGACAAGACTTGGTTGGAATTTAGGATGTGTAAGGGAGTAATAGTAAATCATGTAAGAAAGGAAGATCTGAAAATGATTGTAGAGAATGTTAAATGTCAAGCTCAGGAATGGAAAGACAGAAAAGTTTTTCAGGGGAGTAACATAATGAAAACTGTCCTTCATAATGATTAATCTGGCAGCAATATACAGATTGGACTGCAGTAAGACAAAATCAAGTTAAGAGTGTACAAAAATTAGTTAGAAGACTTGAAATAGCACATTTCAGAATTAACAATAGCGTTAATGGGAATAGGAAAGAATACAAGAGATGTTGAAGAAGCAGATATGACAGGACTTGATAAGAGAGACTCAAAGACAATGCAAGTTTTGAGCCTTTTACAATACATAAGAATAGTGACGCCATCAATAGAGATGAGAAACATCATAGGGAGAACAAGTTTTCAGATTTTATTTTGAAAATGGGAGAAGATAATAAATTGCCTCTTACACAGACTTGAAGGTGTTTAAGGACATTTTTGCAGAGAGGTTCAGTAGGAAGCTAGAAATGTTAACTCTGGAATTCATGAGAAAGAGGCTAAAGATGCCCTCACTCAAAATAATTATAAGCTACTTAACAGCAAAATCTGTGTTTTATATATCATTTTTCTTTTTTGGTGAGGAAGATTGGCCCTGAGCTAACATTCGTTGCCATGCTTCCTTTTTTTTCTTTTTCCTGAGGAAGATTAGCCCTGAGCTAACATCTGTGCCCATCTTCCTCTATTTTTTGTATGTGGGATGCTGCCACAGCATGGCTTGATGTGTGGTGCATAGGTCCGCACCCGGGATCCGAACCTGCAAACCCTGGGCCACTGAAGCAGAGTGTGCGAACTTTAACCACTACGCCACCAGGCCGGCCCCTATCTATCATTTTTGTAATGCTAAGCACGGTATCTGGCATGCAGTAGGTGCTCAACAAATGCTTGAATGGATTTAACTGAATTTGGGAATCATTCATATAAACATAATTGTTAAAGCAGATGAAAACATTAGGGGAGAGAATATAGAAATGAGTAGATGACAAAAATCTAAATGCCTGCTCAATAGGTTAGTTAGAGAGGCCAACAGAGGAGCTAGAAGGAATAGCCTGGAAAAAAGAATAGGGACAGGGTAGTGCAATATCAGAGGTTCAGGGAGATGAAAGTTTCAGGAAGAAAAGAATAATCAGCGGTGTCAAATACTGAAAGAGGTCAGATGGTTAAGGACTGAGAGCTACCGAATTTGATGATTATGTGGAATTTTGTGATCTTTGAGAAAGCAGTTTCAGGACAACAACATTAACAAGTCAGGATTATGAGAGGTCAAACTGAAACAATAATTTTCAAATGGAGATAAGTTCACCTAAGTAAAAAAAATAACAAGATTATTGTCTAGGTAATGAAGATCTTTCCAAAGAGACTTATCTTGGGCATCTCTTGTTGACTGTGTTATGGATGACCACAGTAAAGGAGCTTTAATTTGCTCTAATTTAATGTCTCAAGCTACTAATATAAGGTTTCAGCATAGTGATATCAGCAATCTGTGCTATAGGGAAACATTTAGATAAAATTAAATTTTCTTTTGGAAAAGTATTCAAAATACTTTACCTATTTCCACTTCAGTGAGACAGTTATCAATCTTCTTAAGTATGTTGTCCATCTCATCTATCCTTATGTGAAGCTTTTCCCTCTCATTCTAAACACACAATATTATAGACTGTCAAGTTAAACCTCCAAACAAAACATAAATCGTTCAAATTGCTGATATAACTGCTATGTATAAATCATGAACAGGCAAATCTTAAAATGAAGGTTAAAACTTCAAGTCTGGACTTAAAAATTTTTAAAAAGCAAAAATAACAGATTAATATACAGTCATATGTTGCTTATTGATGGGGATACGTTCTGAGAAATGTGTCATTAGATGATTTCACCGTTGTGCAAACATCCGAGTGTACTTATACAAACCTAGACAATATAGCCTACTATGCACCTAGGCTATATGGTACTAATCTTACAGGACCACCGTCGAACATGTGGTTGGCCATTGTCCAAAATGCTATGTGGTGCATGACTGTAAAATCATTTTTTATGCTTTCCTTTATTCCAGCATTTCCATGTAATATAAAATGTTAATATATATTACTTTAAAAAAAGAGTTCTTTAAAAAATGTTTTATGGTCAAATAAATATGGGAAACACAGGTCAAACAGAATTATAGCATTTTTTTCTTTTTAGACTTAAAAAAAAAAAGATTTCTCACTTTAGAATTTAATATGCTAGCTATTATATTTCTCCAAAAGGGGGACATTGCATGTAACATTTCTCAGACTTGTTTGCCAATGGGAAGTTTTTTCAAGCAGAGCCTTTCTTAAAGGATGATCATTTTGGGAAATGCTATTTTAAACACACACACAGCTGGGTATGGACTATGAGGAAGATAATACTACAGTATAGTCCTTAGCAATGGAAGATCAGAATCCTATATTGTTTTATTTCAATATGTATAATGGATAAGAAATTTGAGATGAGACACAGGCCCATATTAGTAAGTATATTCCAGAATTACTCAAGATGCCAGGATTTGCCACTTTTGATAAAGTGAACCCCACTTCTTACAAACAATTGTAAGTTTTTGCCCAAGTCTCATTCATGTGTCTTCTAAGGAACATTCTTCATATTCCACAACCACTATAAAGTAATTTTAATAGACCTTTCTTTCTATGCTGTTAACTATCTCGAATTACCTGAGCTGACTGTACCAGCTTGCTGTAGAGAGCCACTTTTCCTTGGTGAGTGAAGACTTTAGTCATCTTGGTAAAATGTGATTTAATTTTGTTCAGGTAAATTCCAAAGGTCTTCAGCTGCAAGGGAAAGTCAAAAGCTATACTGCACTAAAACAAATGAGTTAGAAAAGGCAAATGGTCTGGGAATGCTGGTTCAGCTGCTATGTGCTAAGCTTTGCCCATACTAGACTATGATTTCTAAGGCAGGGCACTTCTCATTTGCAAATTTAATTCCATTTAATAATTTAAAAGCAGAACCAAAGATTTCAATTTTGATTTCTGCTTTTAATTCACTTATTCATATTACAAATTAGAAAATGATAGGATTTTAGTTAATAAAACTCTTTTAACATATTAGGGCACACATAAAATGAGTTGCTTATTATTTAATCAATTAAAGTAAATCTTTTCCTCATCTAAGTCTAAGAGAAAGGCAAACAAGAAGGAGGGAACTCTAAATAAACTTCAAATATATTTCATATTTTAAATTGATCAATTCTGGTTTGAGAAAAGATTATCTATTAGCAATTACTCACATATAATTAATAAAACCTTGGTAACATATTACACCTGAGAAGTTAAAGAACTCATCACTAAGTAACAGTTACTTATTTCATAATAAAACATTGTTCAAAATGTCTATACTGATTCCCATTCAGAAAATGAGACAAAAGTACCTCCCCATCAGAGCAGTGTCTCATTTTTTCCCACAGGTTCTTATTTACACAAGTCAACAGTTTATCTTGGTTCAATGCAGAAAGCTTTAATCTAAAACACAGAAAAGTTAATTACCACAGAGTTCAGAAGTCAGCTTGAATGAATCAACTCAGATCTACAGGCATACTTAATTTAATTCTTCTTAGTCCTTTTCTATACAAAAAGAGAGGAATTCACTCAAGAACAGTGGCCAGCCTGATTTTTTTTTTTTTTTTTTGAGGAAGATCAGCCCTGAGCTAACATCCGTGCTAATTCTCCTCTTTTTGCTGAGGAAGACCGGCTCTGAGCTAACATCTATTGCTAATCCTCCTCCTTTTTTTTTCCCCCAAAGCCCCAGTGGATAGTTGTATGTCATAGTTGCACATCCTTCTAGTTGTTGTATGTGGGACATGGCCTCAGCATGGCCGGAGAAGCGGTGCGTCGGTGTGCGCCTGGGATCCGAACCTGGGCCGCCAGTAGCGGAGCGCGCGCACTTAACTGCTAAGCCACGGGGCCGGCCCCAGCCTGACTATTTTGACACTTGTAGAACAGTTCAAGAATGTTATGAATCAAAAAAACTTCCCTCACAAGTAGAATTCTCATCTCAATGTATCAACTTGTTCCAACATGAAAACATGTTGCTTATAAAGAATCCTTAAGGCCTGTCAATGCATAACTATTGTGAAGCTGTAGTTATTATTTTAAGTAAAAGTTCCCAATTCAGTTCAAAGTCCTCTCTCACCTCTGTAGAACAGCATTTATAAAAGTAGCAAAGTTATACATCAGTCTCTTCTTAATAGGTATAAAAAATAAATGTCTATCAGAGTTAGAAGATATTATATATAGGCACACAGGTGCAAAATCAAACAGTACAGCACATCTAAACAGACTGTTTATTGTATGCGAGATCCCATTTCATTCAAAATAAAACATTCTCAGACAAATCCTGAGACACCCAACTCTTTTAAACAACATAAAGATAAGAAACTTGTCTGTCTTGTTCAGTGATGAACCCTAGTACTTAGCACAGTGCCTGGCACATAGAAGGTGCTCAGTATATATGTGTTAATCTGCAGGACTATAATTTAACAGCATCCTAATTTTCAAACTACATAGTTACTAAAAGATTATTTTATTTCTTTTCTGTTAGATTGGTTTAAATTTAGTCGGATAAGTTCTAGATAAGTACGATATAAACATTATTTTGGGTTGCAAGTCCTGATTTACCTGGGGGAATCTAAATATACCTAATTTGTAAATTAGTCTATAGCGCCTACATAAGCCAAAGCACTGAGCTATAGTCTGAGTAAAACCATGTTCTTTTATACACGCAAATCAAGGGTAAATGTGATAAAATTATAAACCGAAAGGCAATCTTGATTTTAGGCACTATATATAAATCTCTAAAGGAAAAAAAATTTTCTTTTGAAGATGTGCTTTTGCAATCAACTTATGATATCATAATCTAATTATTATTGTTTACTGAGAACCTACTTTTTGTTGAGAATGGCAAAAAAACATTTTATATACAGTACACTATTTTTACTGCTCATTTCCACCCACTGAGTAGGTATTATTATCCCCAATTTATGGATGTGGAAAAGAAGGTTAAATGACTTACAGAAGGTTACATAGCTAGTGTTGTAGCCAGTATTGAGCTTCAATCTGTCTGACTACAAAGCTGAAACTTTCCCATATACCATATCACACCGCCAATTAATGCCATAAACTTTTTCCTATGCCAGTGTTATTCTTTTTTTTTTTTTTTTTTATAATTTTTTTTTTTTTAATTTTTTCCCCCAAAGCCCCCGTAGATAGTTGCATGTCACAGCTGCACATTCTTCTAGTTGCTGCATGTGGGACACGGCCTCAGCATGGCTGGAGAAGCGGTGCATCGGTGCATGCCCGGGATCCGAACCTGGGCCGCCAGCAGCGGAGCGTGCGCACTTAACCGCCAAGCCACGGGGCCGGCCCACCAGTGTTATTCTAATTGAAGCTTTACTACACAGATTATTCATTCATCCAACAAAATGTACACAAAAATGAAAATTTTCATACTCTTCAATCTTTTGGCGAAGAGTCTCACAATCTTCTCTATAAATCTGTATCTTGGGTCGGTAAACATATTGACTTAACATCAGATCTTCTGGAGTAGGTGGTGTGTTTATTGTAAACTGAAAAAAAAAAATCAGTCCCTCAAAACTGGTATTTGGAGGACAAAACCATATTCAAGAACTCTTTCAAGTTTCAGAGTGCCCATTTTAAAAAGTTCTACAAAGAAATATTCGAATACTCTATTAAATTCACAGACCTAGTAAGCTACAAGTCGAAATTTGAATTCAAGTCTTTGACATCCAAGTCCATTTCCCACAGATGTTTAGGGGGGAAAAAAAAAGAAAATGGCTATGCATTATTTTAAGAAAATCAATTCCTAAAAATTCAAACTTACCGGGAATCCCTTCATTAAAAGAAAGAAAAAAGGTGCCAGTTTCCCAGATTATCCTTTTCTCTTCCCATTCGCTAGTCCTGATCCTTATTTCTACCCCAGGTTGAACTCAAAATGTTCCAGCATATGTAAAATAAGGCAGTAAAAATTTGGTTATTTAAGAAATATCTTATAGCTCTAATCCAATGACTTTTTGATTTCCTTGATGCAGTATTGGAAAAATCAAATCAGCTCCCCACGTCACATTATGTATAAAACACAAACCAAACAAAACCCCCAAACTGTCCATTATTCATAGGCAGTGAGGCACAGAGTAAGTCATTACACCCCTCTACGCTTTGGTCTCCTCGTCTATAAAATGGGCATACTACTGATCAGCCTCTTCAGATTGTAGTAAAAGTTTTTTTAAAAAGGTACCAAAGCCCAGGGCCTGCTAAAGTAATCTAATGAATGTTAGTTTCCTCTCATTCTCCCCTTTTAGTTGATAAATTAAAAGTAACTGAGGTTTTAATCTCTTTTCTCTGTCCCTACCACATCTTCTAGCATATGTGCTAAGAAAATGTAGAAATGTGCTAAAAGCAATTATAATTGAAGTTGACTTTTTTTTTTTAATTTTTATTTATTTATTTTTTCCCTCAAAGCCCCAGTAGATAGTTGTATGTCATAGCTGCACATCCTTCTAGTTGCTGCATGTGGGACGCGGCCTCAGCATGGCCAGAGAAGCAGTGTGTTGGTGCGTGCCCGGGATCCGAACCCGGGCCGCCAGCAGCGGACCACGTGCACTTAACCGCTAAGCCACGGGGCCGGCCTCCAGGATTTTTAGATTTCTTTCCTGAGATAGCAAAAACTCTCTTTCCATCTTGATGGGTTTGTTCCCAGATCTATTTCCCTAACATTGGTCCTTCTGACCTCTGCAAGGCCTGAAAGGAAAGGAAAAGGGGAAGACCCATACCCTCAAGGGTTAGCTCCTGAGGTATCCTCTCCCTTTTCCACCCTGCCAGCATCCTCTCTGCCTCCTATCCTTCCCCTCTGCTCTCCTCTGTTTCTCCTGGTCCCTTAGTACTCTCTCTGCTTTTCCTAAGAAGGGTGTAGACTCTGGATGCACATCTAGGCACTTTTCTACTCCCCATCTACAGCTGAGGCAAGAGGATTCTAGTGGGAAGGGGCAGCTATGGTGATAGGAATAATAAAGTTGGTGACCCAAAAGATGTGAGCCCATCGTCCCAGTTTCCATCTTTGATTTACTTTTCACATTTAGACATACAATCCTCCTGGAATTGATTTCCTTCTAAACAGCTTTATTGAGATTTAATTCACACACTATATAATTCACCCATTAAGTATACAATTAAATGATTTTTTAAAGTATATTCACAGGGTTTTGCAACCATCAACCACAATCTAATTTTAGAGCATTTTCACCCCCCCAACAAAAGAAACCCTGTACCCATTAGCTGTCCCGCCCCATTCTCCTCCATCCCCATCCCAGCTCCAAGTAACCACTAATCCGTTCACCTTTTGGCTATTATGAATAATGCTCATGTATAAGTTTTTGTATAGATGTATGTATTCAATTCTCTTGGGTATATACCTAGAACTGGAATTGCTGAACCTAGAACCATATAATAGTTCTATGTTTAACTTTTTGGGAAACTGCCAAACTGTTTTCCAAAGTGGCTGTATCATTTGACAATCCCACCAGCAATGTATGAAAATTCCAATTTCTCCACATCCTTGCAAACACTTGTCATTTTGATTACACTTGTCTTTTTGATTACAGCCCTCCTAGTGGATGTGAAGTAGTAACTCACTGTGGTTTTGATTTGTATTTCCTTAATGACTAATGATGCTGAACATGTTTTCTTGTGCCTATTAACCATTTGCTTATCTTCTTTGGAGAAATGTCGTTCAGATCCTTTGATTATTTTTAGATTGGGCTATCTTTTTATTATTGAGTTTCAAGAGTCCTTTATATATTCTGGATACAAGTCTTATAACATGTTTGGTTTGCAAATGTTTTCTACCATTCTGTGGGTTGTCTTTTCACTTTCTTGATGGTATCATTTGTAGCACAAAAGGTTTAATTTTGATGAAGTCCAATTTTTTAATTTTGTCACTTGTGCTTTTGGTGTTGTATAGAATTGATATTTGTGTACAGTGTGAAGTATGGGTCAATGTTCATTTTTTTCCTATGGATATCTAACTGACGGAACACCATTTATTGAAAAGACTACTATTCTGCAGGGGCATCTTTGCCATAAACCAAATGTCCATATATGTGTGAGTCTGTTCTTTAAAAGTTAGATAGAACTCATCTGGTCCTAATGACAATGTTTTTTTTGTGTGTGAGGAAGATTAGCCCTGAGCTAACATCTGTTGCCAATCCTCCTCTTTTTGCTGAGGAAGATTGGCCCTAGGCCAGCATCCATGCCCATCTTCCTCTAGTTTATATGTGGGATGCCTGCATTGGCTTGATGAGTGGTGCATAGGTCCACGCTCAGAATCTGAACCTGCAAACCCCGGGCCGCTGAAGTGGAGCGTGTGAAATTTAACCACTACGCTATGCTGTGGCAGCATCTCACATACAAAATAGAGGAAGACTGGCACAGATGTTAGCTCAGAGACAATCTTCCTCAACAAGAACAAAACAAAAACAAAAGAAACTTCTGCTATATTTGGATTTTTATAACAGTAGGAAAAAGCATATGTTCAGGAAAAAGTATCAAAAACAAAATAGATGGCAAGGAATGACAGAAAAAACAAAATTTTACCTTATCAAAATTCATGATATTAAAAAAAAATCAATTTTTATGCTAACCATAAATGTCCCTAGTACAGGAAAACCTCTGTAGGAAAATGTGCTTCCTCAGAGTCTTTTTTTGTTTTTGAATAAATGCTTGCTTTGATGCAGTTTAGTAAACAAGTACAATATATTTTAACTGAGATAACTATTTTGCCAAGAAATTACACTTACTTTGGCTGGGAGATTGCTTTGTCGGGGTTTCTGTATCAAAATGTGGACCTGAAGAAGTATAAAGAACTCCTTTGTTGTTATTCTCCCATCTTTGAGTTTCTGAGGAAAGAAAAAAAGTTTGCATGACTATTCAAGGTGAGCTTTTTTTGACTATAACCACCTCACTTTTTCTAAATAGCTTAAAGTATTTTGCATATATTTGTGGAAATATTATCCAGATATTTGTAGGCTATATATGAGCAGATTTTATCTACTATTATTTCTTAAGGTTATTCAGTAACAGTAGAATTGGGGAAAAACAACATAACAAACGTCTTCTAATTGTGATTTCTACTCCACATAATTAATTGCCATGATGGGTCCTTAACAAAAAAACAGAAAACCAGTCTCCTATATATTTGAAATATTTCATAATTTTTTAAAAATTTAAAAAAGAGAAACAAACCAAGGAAATTAGTTGCATTAGAAATGAGAAATATTTTAACATACCTCCTTCAAGCTCTCTTCACAAATAGTGTCTGTGAGAAACTGTGATTCCATTTGACTATTGCGGTGTGCTAGAAGTAAAGCAAATTCAGGTGATGAACAAGTCAAAATTAAATTGTAAGCTTTATTTTAGTTATCGTTCAGGTTTACATGTGGCTCATGCTCCTGAAGCTATCTACCAGGATCTTTCTGGGAAGATAGTCATTTGTAGGGCAAAGTATATTACAGTTTTGAGGCTCCATTCAATGTTTCTCTACTAATTATAAGCCTTTTAAGGAAAATCACTCTACCACTTGTAGTATAATACTTCTCAATTTATTTTTATTTTATTTATTTTTTTGTGAGGAAGATCAGCCCTGAGCTAACATCTGATGCCAATCCTCCTCTTTTTTTTTGCTGAGAAAGATTGGCCCTGGGCTAACATCCGTGCCCATCTTTCTCTACTTTATATGGGACGCTGCCACAGCATGGCTTGACAAGTGATGTGTTGGTGCACGCCCGGGATCCGAACTTGCGAATCCCCGGCTGCCGAAGCGGAGCGCACGCACTTAACCGCTGCATCACTCGGCCGGCCCCCTCAATTTATTAAAATAACTAAGAATTAAAAATAAACTAAATATTATTTTACTTATCAACTATTTATAACTCCCAAAAAGCTTATATGAATTTCAAATATCTCCTGAACTTAAATACATTTATTACTAGTCAAGCAAGCAGATAACTTCTATTACTTAGCTTTCGTAAAGATCTTACTGCTGAAGTCCAGAGAAGTCCCATCAGCCTTGATTGAATCCAGAGAACTGCTGCAAGTAGATGGGGTCCTGCTCAGGCTTTTTATCAATACACTGTTAGCATTTTTATCTATATCCCCTTCAGCAAGATGATCAAAAATCTGAAATTATCAATTAAGGAACATCATCAGGACAAAGTTGACAATGAATACTGTATCACTGTATGATGATTACATACTTGTTGAACACTAACAGAAATACTACTTCAAGCATAAAATTTATCTATAATTCTTATGAAATACCTTAGTAAAAAATTAGAATAAGTAAGAGGCAACTTAGGTCTTTAGAGTTAAAAGTAATTTTATTTAAAAATATACAGAAATAACTTTGTTCATTATATCGTATAAGCAAATTATTTCTCAGATGTATCTAAGTTACAGCCAGATCCTATGAGCTACCAAATGTTGACCTATCCGGTTATTCAACTACTAGCCACGAGGGTCAGGGCTACAACGTTGCAGAAAACCAGAATAGAATATTGGCTGTATATGGCAGCCTTGGCTAGAGTACAGAGAAGAAATTTATTTCCAGGCTTAGGTACTTCTTTCACCAGGTGACCAAGACTCCTTTGGCTGAAGTCAAATAAGTCATGTGGTCCTGCTTTTACCATTTTAACAATTTGACTTTACAGCCTTAAATGCCATTTTTATGTACCTACTTAGGTATGTTTTTGAGGACAATCTATTCTTTGTCTAAATGCTAGAACGTAAGCTCCATGAGAGCAGATTTTTGTCTGTGAATTCCCACTGATGCATTCCCAGCACCTAAATAGTACCCAGGACATAGCATATACTCAATAAATATTTACTGAACAAAATAATACTAATTTTCACAGAATCTATTCAGTTATAAATTTTATATTACTGTTACTACCTTCTCAAAGCTTCATAGATGAACCATTTCCTCAGGAACTCATCTTATAGAACCACTGAAATCATCTTCTAAGCTTACTTACATACTTCTTAATGGAGTTTGTACTTTGTTTTCTACGAACCTCTGATACTTTCTAATCTTTATTTCTCCACTTACAAAACTCAGTTTAAGTGACAGGTTTTTTCTCCTCTAATTGTCCAAGGAGTTTTGTAAGTTTTGTAAAAAGTTGAGGGAATTCAACTCAACTTTTTTTTTTGCGAGGAGATCAGCCCTGTGCTAACATCTGCCAATCCTCCTCTTTTTTTTGCTGAGGAAGACTGGCCCTGGGCTAACATCCGTGCCCATCTTCCTCCACTTTATATGGGACGCCGCCACAGCATGTCTTGCCAAGCAATGCGTCGGTGCGCGCCCAGGATCCGAACTGGCAAACCCCAGGCCGCTGCAGCAGAGCACGCGCACTTAACCGCTTGCGCCACCAGGCCAGCCCTCAACTCAACTTTTTACAAAATCTATGACCTCTTTCATAAATACAAAAATCTTACTTCACTTTTGAGATACAGGGCTTGACCTAGGCATTCTCCCATTCACTAAAGAAACAGACTCTCAGCTTCTATGCTTCTACATATCTTCATTAGCCAAGAAAATTCAGTCTTTTCTTTATGCAGTTTGCATAATAAACAGACTTTTTACCCTCCAAATATTTATAACACTGAAGATGACTTTTCAAACTACATATTCCCTGCCTAGAGATTCTCATACGCAAAGCCACAGTGGCAAATCACCAGAGGTGACAAAATATCTAGAATTACACACTTTCTTTTTTTTTTTTTTTGTGAGGAAGATCAGCCCTGAGCTAATATCCATGCTAATCATCCTCTTTTTGCTGAGGAAGACCGGCTCTGAGCTAACGTCTATTGCCAATCCTCCTCCTTTTTTCCCCCCAAAGCCCCAGTAGATAGTCGTATGCCATAGGTGCACATCCTTCTAGTTGCTGTATGTGGGACGCGGCCTCAGCATGGCCAGAGAAGCGGTGTGTCAGTGTGCACCCGGGATCCGAACCCGGGCTGCCAGTAGCGGAGTGCACGCACTTAACCGCTAAGCCACGGGGCCGGCCCTAGAATTACACAATTTCAACATTAATTTTTGTACTACTTTCCATTTCATTTTTTGTGACCATTTGTCACTTCAAATTGTTTTCAAGTCTAGCTGTTAGCCAATTAATTCCTTGAGATTCTATATAAAAATATTTCTCCAGCCCCATAAATTGGAAATAATCAATTCCTGCTTACCCAAGACTAAAATTAAAATTCAAAAATATTCATAATTTTTAAAAAACCAAGAACATTCCTTAGTTCAAGACAGAACTCACCTCCTGATCTTGTGCAGTATCACTAAACCTAATCTCACTTTTTCTGATTTTTTTTTCATTCTGAATATCATCTTCTTCTTCTTGTACCCAGGTTCTTTTTTGGCTATTGCAGGTTTCTTCCATTTTATTTTCAGATGGTGAAATCTCTTTTTGGTATGTCTCAATCAAAGCCTTTTCCTCAGTTTCTATACTAATAGAGTCTGAGGAATTAATCTCACCAGGATATATAGGAAGATTTTCCTCATTTATATATTCAGATGGACTTAAGTTCAGTTTAGTTGCAATAAATCCAATGCTTGAATCCTTACTGGAGACGGGCCGACTTTCTAAGTGATTTAAATCAGCTGTGTCTGCTGGAATCTGCTCCAGGTCATCAATACCAGTGACACTACAATTTCTCTTGTTTGGCAATCTGGGCAAAAAGATTCCCAAAGAACATTTCCTCACTTTATCTTTTACACCTGTCGTTAATGGTACAGAGTTGGTTTCAGCTCCATTATGAGAAATTTTATTTTCTTCATCTCTATCATCTTTAACACTGTTAGACACTACATTATCATTATGTATTTCTGTGGCTTTCACTATATTCATATCATTGTGTGGCGTATTTACTAATTGAAGTAATTGTTCTGGAGAAGGTGGTACATGAACAGTTGGGAAATCTAAAAATTCTTCAGTTTTCCCATTCAAATTATTCAAATTTGGTTTCACACTACTAAAACTTGCACCATCAGATGCAATTACAGGATATGATGCTTCTCTAGGATTGGCACAAGTTTGCATGACTTGCTTAGTCAAGTCTGAGTTACTGTGGAAGTCTATAGCTGTATTATATTTAGCTGTTTGAATATTTTCCTTCAGTTCTTTTTTACAGGCTATAGTAAACTGTTTCTCATTATTGAGCATTTTGGACTCATTTTCGCATGTGGGTACAGAGGAATTTCCTATAACAATATTTAAATTATTATTTCCAGCTTTAGACAATATTGTTTCATCTTTATTGACAATACTCTGTCCTTGTTTAGGTAATGGAGGTAGCTGGGTTGAGAGATGAGGCTGAGAAGCAACAAAAACATCATTAAGATAGGTCTTCTTTAAACTATGTTCCGCATTGTCAACAAAGGCCTCCATTTGATCCTTTGGAAGCTTAAAAGATACTCGTTTTGAATTAAGTTTAGTTATCTCTCCCAGATCTTGACCATATACTACAGTCTGATTAGCTAATAGATTTTGGGGCTCCTTAATCAGATCTTGATCTTTGAGCACTTTTATGACACGGTCTAACTGTCCTTCAGTATTGGTTTGAATAACTATTTCCTTCTCTAGCAAAGAACAAGGGGCAGAGAGTGGCAGTCCCTCAGATTTCAAGGAATATTCACTGGCTAAATCATTTGCATAAGCAAGATCATTTTGTACTGGGCAATTATTGGCTTTCTCATCTTTATCACATAAGGACACGACGTTCCCCTCTACATTATCAAAACAGGAAATAACATTTGGTAAACAAGAACAATTATCACTGGGTCCACAAATAGGAGTTGCATGACTCTTTGTAAAATCCACATTTCTTCTGTCTGTACTATTTAAGTGACAGCTTTCAATTTTGGCTTTTTCCAACGTATCAGCCTGGTCTACAACTTTCCCCATGACCTCTTCATCCACAGCAGTGGTAAGAAATTTGACAATTTCTAGCTCACCTTGACACCCAGACAATGTATTAGTAGGAACAAAGGGTATCATATGATGCTTTTGCTCAGTGTGAAGAACAATTTCGTTTTCTACACCCAGTGTTTGTTTTTTTGCGATTTCTTGAAAAGAGCTACCATTCTTAGGAAAAGAAAAATTCAAGGTTTTTCCTTTTGTTATTCCAAATTTAGGGCACTCTTGAAGTATTTTCTCCGTGGCTTGACAATCAATGAAAATAGTATGGGACTTGGTGACTTCCAGATCATTGTGATTACCTACAAACATTACAGTTTTGTCCACAGGCCTAGTGATTATTTTATCTGGTGAGACAATTTTACATTCTAAGGCACTTGTGTGGCTTCTAGTGATCTCCATGTCATCTTGCCCACATGTATACAAAACAGTTTTAGAAGTTCCTGCCAAAGGCATTAAATGGGAGTCTTCTCTATCTTTCAGGACACTTTGGTTATTTATTTCCACTGTACAACTCTGGATGATATCCATATCATTTTTGTCATTCTTTGAAAAAACAACGGCCTTGTCATTTTTGAGTCTAAGGCTTTTCCTTCTCTGACTTTTGCCTGATAGAGGCTCATTCAGAAATCCAGGCTTTTGTACATCTTTGTCATTTTTCCAAATGATTGATTTAGACATTTCCATGTTATCATCAGCTATAAATGCTGCAGCTTTCTCTGTAGGACCACTACTAGACCATTCCTCCAGTGGTGTTAGCTGGCTGACTTTTGCTGCTAAATGGTCACTTTCACCATTTTCTGGAAAGAAAACACTCTCCTCAGCAGGATTAGATGTCACTTTTGGTTTTTCTACGCTTTTCCTCTTGGATAGTTCAAAGTTAGGTCTGTCTGGAAGAACAGTTTTCTCCTTTGTGTGGCAGTCAATGAAAGCGGTATGGGACTTCGTCATTTCTAGTTCATTGTGATTATCTACAAACATTATAGTTTTGTCCACAGTCTTAGTAGTTATTTCATCTGGTGAGACCATTCTACATTCTATGGCAGTTGTGTGACTTTTAGTGACCTCCACATCATCCTCCCCACATGTATACAAAACAGTTTTAGAAGTTCCTGCCAAAGGCACCAAATGGGAATCATGTTTACCTAATAAAGATTTTTGATTTATTTCCTCTGTATAACTTTTGGTGATATCCATATCATTCTCATCACCCTCTGAAAACACAATAGTCTTATCAATTTTCAATTGGCCAACACTTTTCCTTCCACAAATTTTGACACCTTGCTTTTCATTCGGGAATCCAGGTTTCTGTATACTTTTGTCCTCCAACACATCCATGATGTTATTAGAAATAAATACTCCTCCAGTATTTTCTATAGGACTTTTATTACATTTTTCAACTTTTACAGCTATCTGTCTGTTCACTGTTGTTAGCTGGCTGTTAGTGTTTTCTAAATTAGTCTTACCAAGTTCTTGTACTTCAGAAGGACCAAATCCAATGGCAACAGTGTGACTTTTGGTTAGATCCATATTTTGCTCCTCTTCCGAACACATAATTATCTTGTCATGAGAACAGTCAGTTGTGGGATTGCCTAAACTTTTCTTCAGTGGCTCAGGCAGTTTAGAATTCTGGCCCGGTACAGATTTCACTGTATGACTGTTAATAGCAGTATTATGATTTTTCATGGCAGACTGTCCTTCTGATAAAACCAATGGCTTTGTGGTAGGAAACAAAGATTGCTCACATGAAACTGTATTTCTATTATTTCCCAGTGTTACTTGTTTATCAAGATCTCCACCAGAATATACCATATTATGGCTTGTTGCTACATCCTGGTTAATATCAGCTGACTGAGAAGAATCTTTATCAAGATAGGGTGAAATCTTCAAAACTTGATCTTTTTCTTCGCTCCAGGTGTCAGTTAGGAAGCTTTTAGATATTATGTTTGGTTGTCGGGATGGTTTAACATGACTTTTGGTCATTTCTTCCCATTCATCTGAAGAGCTTTTGCTTTGAGAGTGAGATTTACTGGTATTCTCAGATGCTAGATTATAAGATACAAGAAGAGCTTGACTTTCTAAGTTAGTTGTGTGACTTTTAGTCAAATCCATATCTATACCTGTGAAGATTTCAGTCTTTTTGTCAATCAATGAAATAGATAAAGGATTTGTCAGGCTTTGCTGTAATCTTTCCTTAGATACATGAGGAATTGAGCTCCAATTTACATTCATTTCCCCATCCTCTGACACAGTTATGTGATTTTGGAGCATCATTTCTTTTTCAGATACTGGTGCAGCTGCTATCTGTACATTTGTCTGATCTTGTTTAAAATTCTGATTATCTATTGCAACTGTGTGACTCTTGGTAATGTCCATGCTATCCTCTCCTGAATAAATAGTTTTCTCTATGAGAGGAGTGATGGCATCTGGATTGGGATACATTTTAGAATAATTACTGTCATGCTTTAGCAAATTTTTCTCCTCTTTCATACTTGAGAGACACTTGGTCAGGTCCATGGCATCATTACAACTAGAATAGAAAAATGTCTTATAATCTTGAATAGCTGGACTGGAACATATAGATTCTGGGATCATGGTCAATGTTCTGGCATCTTGGTTAGAAGTCTGTGTGACTGTATGAGTTTCTGTCCCTGTAATATGACTTCTGGTAACATGTATTTCACCTTTAGGGTTTAAGGAAGGGTCTTGAAAAGCAGCATTTGGTTTATCCTTAAAGATTGTCTTCTTTCCTGGAACTTTAGTTCCATATCCTATTGTAACATCCATCATGACATTTTGAGTTTGATTTTCTACTTCTGATAAATTATCTGCTGAGGGTAAAATCTGTATAGTGTGGTTAATTGTCAAGTCCATAAAGTCATTGCCATAGACTGTAGCATCATGACCTTTAAATTCCCTTAAGCTGACCTCATTGGATGTGGAAACCAAAGTCTGAATATTGGCTGTGTGACACTGGGTGAAATTCATCCCATCTTGTTCTCTAAAGATTCTAGTCACATTACCGCTATTTTCATCCACATTAAGAGATACAGGCATTTGATGTATACAAGAGGCCCTATTTGATTCTTTGGAATGAACAGACATCTCAGAATTTTCTTTATCAGGTCCCGTAGAAGAAGCCTTAGATTTTCCTGTTGTCAATCTTTTTATAAAGTCATTGAAATTTATTTTCTTTTCTGAAGAAGTGTTTTGATCCACGGAAAAATTTAATTCTTTCTTCATTCTTGAATCCTCAGTGTGGAGCTTCAAGCTAGCCAGAAATGATGTGGTATCTATCTTGGTGGACTTGTCACTTTTGGTACAATCTAAAAGGCCTTTGGTAATCATCACAGTGTGACTTGCTGTCAGATCCATCTGGTTTTCATCTGAAAAGATGACTGTCTGGTCATTTGCATGTTTCTTTTCATGGCTGGGTTCTGTAATTGAAATCTATAATGAAAGCAAAATACAAGAGATCAGATCAAAGACAAACTTTTTTTTTTTTTGTGAGGAAGATCAGCCCTGAGCTAACATCCATGCTAATCCCCTTTTTTTTGCTGAGGAAGACCGGCCCTGAGCTAACATCTATTGCCAATCCTCCTCTTTTTTTTTTTTTCCCCAAAGCCCCAGTAGATAGTTGTATGTCATAGCTGCACATCCTTCTAGTTGCTGTATGTGGGATGTGGCCTCAGCATGGCCGGAGAAGTGGTGCGTCAGTGCACGCCTGGGATCCGAACCCGGGCCGCCAGTAGCGGAGCACACGCACTTAACCGCTAAGCCACGGGGCCGGCCCCAAATACAAACTTTTAAGAAGGCATTTTATAGCATGTATTATGTAGAGAATACTATATAAACAATCATCAGTGATGGTTTCATGATACACTGGTTTGCTTGGATCCATGCTGTGGTGTGTAGCCTGTAATTTGTGATTAAAAAGTTTTCTAGGAGCTGGCCCCGAGGCATAGTGGTTAAGTTTGGTGCACTCTGCTTTGGCAGCTTGGGGTTCAGTTCCCGGGCGCGGATCTATACCACTTATCTGCAGCCATGTTGTGGCAGTGACCCACATACAAAATAGAGGAAGACTGGCAACAGATGTTAACTCAGGGTGAATCTTCCTCAGCAAAAAAAAAAGTTTTCTAAAATCTGTAAACAATTTTAGTGTTTTTGGACAAATTAAAAGTTCAAGGTTAATTATACACCCACTAGAATGACTAAAAAATGAAAAAGACTGACAATACTAAATGTAACTATAATGAAAATTCTAATTACTTTATTAGATAGGTCATTCTCATTCTAAATAAAAAAGACTTGGAAAGGGATAAGTACATGACGGCTACTTTATAGTACATGCTGTACTCTTGGGAGCTGAGTTCACTTTGAATCTTAATGCAGTGGTTTTATTTGTAAGGACATGGTCTAACTCCTTGCTACTCAAAGTATGGTCTGTGGACAAGTGCACTAGTATCAGCCAGGAGATTGTTAGACATATAGAATCTCAGGGGCTACCCCAGATCTACTGGATAAGAATCTATATTTTAACAAAATCCTGAGATGATTAATATGCCCATTAAAGTTCAAGAAGTCCTGATATAATTACTATATTTGCCTATTATTTAAACTGGCAGTGATTTAACTATTGCTAGTTAATTGGAAAGGTAAGAAGTTTTTCCAGTCTATGATGGTTCATTTTGTTTTGTTTTATAATTTTATTTATTTATTTTTTCCCCCAAAGCCCCAGTAGATAGTTATATGCCATAGCTGCACATCCTTCGAGTCCCTGTATGTGGGACGCGGCCTCAGCATGGCCGTAGAAGCGGCATGTCAGTGCACGCCCAAGATCCGAACCCGGGCTGTCAGCAGCGGAGTGCGCACACTTAACCACTAAGCCACGGGGCCGGCCCTATGCTGGTTCATTTTGGTAAGTAATCCCTAAATTGTGCCATTACCATTAAAATTCTTTTTTTAAAGTTTTAACTGTCAAGGGAGATTAAAATATGAAGGCCTTTGCATGAACTCATACCTCTCTCTGTTGCCTCTGGGTCTGAATGGGAGCACAAAGCAATGTGTCCATCCCTATTGAGAAAAAAGAAAAAATATAGTCAGTGACAAAAATCTGTATCACCAAGAGCCTGATTTTCCTTTGCTTAGGTTCTTCATCAGTTATGAGTATTTACTGAAGTTTTATCAGTTACTAAGCCCTTCATAAGCACTTAGGTATTAAATTTCAATAAGACATTTAATTGTCCCATTTTAGGGACAGATCGGTGATTACCGCATTCTCTATGTGACTGAAATATTTCTAGAATGTGGTGGAGATTTTAAAGGCGGAATTTTAAGGGTGGAAAGTTTGGACTGTTTTTTCCCCCTTCCTTCCTCCATTTTTATTTCCTGGATAATAGAGGATACATGGTAAAGAGTACCAACCGATGAGACTGAAATGTTAGGGTAAGATTTTGAAGCGTCTTTTATTCTATATTAAGGAATCTGGACGTTCCCACGATGAGATGTGCATTTTATAAAAATAATTCCAGAGAAGAAGAAAGTAGATTCAAAAGAAGATAAATCAATGAGGAAGCTACTGTTAATAGTTCAGACACAACATGATGACAGTTTATGTTAGGGTAAGAGACAGTGAGAATGGAAATAAGTAATTAGACTCAAGATATTTTAGAATTGAAATATAAAGGTTTAGGTAAGTAACAAACTGGATTTTGGAAATAAGAAAGACATTGAAGATACTATAATAAAACAGAAAATATATTTAAAAATACTTAAGTTTAAAGGCAAATCTTTAGAACATTTTAAAGAATTTACGGCAACCTCAACTGAGTATGATGAAGTAACTATACGCCTTTTATTAAAAGCCTTATTTATATATCAAGCTTCCACTCATTTATTCAACAAATATTGATTCAGAAACTATTATTTGCCCCAAAACTCAACTATCTGCTAAAGCACAAAGAACAAGACAAAATCTCTGGATTCAAAGAGTTTCTAGGGCCACCCCGGTGGCTTAGCGGTTAAGTGCGTGCGCTCCGCTACTGGTGGCCCGGGTTCGGATCCCGGGCGCGCACCGACGCACGGCTTCTCTGGCCATGCTGGGGCCGCATCCCACACGCAGCAACTAGAGGGATGTGCAGCTATGACATGCAACTGTCTACTGGGGCTTTGGGGAAAAAAAAAAAAAGGAGGAGGATTGGCAATAGATGTTAGCTCAGAGCCAGTCTTCTTCAGCAAAAAGAGGAGGATTAGCCCGGATGTTAGCTCAGGGCTGATCTTCCTCACAAAACAAAAAAAAACCAAAAAAAAAAAAACAAAGAGTTTCTAGTTTAACAAGAGAGCCAGAAGTAAATACCTAAAATACAATGTGATAAATTCTACAATAAATTGAGAAATAAAAGCAGTGTTATGAGAACACAGGACAGAGTGACTGACTCCTTGGTTTTGTCAGAGAAGGCTCCATTTAAGACAGTATAGTACTACTTAATATATGGTGCCAGTCTGTGAACTGCTTGTTATCAGTTCATAATGAGATAAGGAACTTGCAGCCAATGTAAATCAAGTAATATTTCCTTCACCAAGAAAGCTTTGCTAAGAAAAAAAGATGTCAGCTAAACTAAACAGTAGCTTACTGCCATAGCTGATTTACATTCTAGTGCAAGTTCCTTTTCTTTCATGGACTGTAACAGTTTGTGGACTGGCTAATTTGAATAGCACTGAATTTAAGCTAAGTGAAAAGCTAAGTTAAGTGAAAAATGAGAAGACTGCTAGACAAATTGGAGTAGGAAGAGCACTTTAGTAGAAGAAATAAGCATTTACAAATGGATACAGGTAGCAAAAAAGTCACGTGGGGAACTGCAAATAGTTCTTCACAGACTAGAGCCTAGGATGTCTAAAGAGGGCACAAGAGATAAAGCTGGAGAAGATAAGCCAAATTATAAAGGCCTTTCTAAGTCTATCCTAAGGAGTATGGGTTTTATCCTGTAAGCAAAAAAGTGTCATTGAAGAATTTTAAGCTGGGAGGTAATATCATCAGATTTAGAAATATGTAGGATGGATTAGAAGGATAAGAAACTAAATACAATAGCTCAAGAAAGAATAATGAGGACATGAATTCAAACAGGGACGGGAAGAATAGAGAACAGGTAACAGATTTGTAAGATACTTAGGATAAAGAAGAGGAAGAGAGTAGGGCCAAATGAATATGGGGAATGAAAGAAAAGTCCAAAAATGACTCAATTCCTGACTTGAATGAATGACAGAGTGAGTGAGAGTCCAAGATAGAGAAAAGAAGAGGAACAGCAGATTTAAGAGAAATCATAAGTTTGTAAATTTTAAACTGAAGATTTTGTGTAAAGAACAGAGTGTTCTTCACATTTTTTTTTCATAGTTCTTTTACATATTACTTATCAAGGATTCTGGATGAAGAGAAAAGGTGTATGATAAGAAAAGTATTCTGGTCATACTCACCAGTAATCTCACAGTAGTTATCTTCTGGATTCTTATTCCTAAAAATTAAAAAGTATTTTCAAAATCTATACCATAAACAATTACCAAGAATCATAACAGTTGAAAGAGCAGGGAAGGTGAAAGGTTTTCATAGGGTGAGTGGCAGAAAAACACAAAGACATCTTTTAAAAAAGAGTTTCTAACACTGGCAGAAGAAATTACAGGGCAATCACAGGACACTCTTCAGACTGGTCTTAATGGTTTGTTAATTTCAGGAATACTATAAAAATACGTTTAATACATGCCACTTGCTTATTTTTATTGTATTTTATTTTTTTCGTGAGGAAGATTGGCCCTGAGCTAACATCTACGCCAATCTTCCCCTACTTTGTATGTGGATTGCTGCCACAGTATGGCTTGATGAGTGGTATAGGTTGGTGCCTGGGATCTGAACCCGCAAACCCAGGCCACTGAAGTGGAATGTGCCAAACTTAACCACTATGCCACCAAGCCAGCCCCTTATTTATTTATTTTTAAAAAAAGAATGACCAAGCCAGCCCTGATGGCCTAGTGGTTAAAGTTTGGCACATTCCACTTTGGCAGCCAGGGTTTGGTTCCCAGGTGTGGAACCACACCACTCACTTGTCTGTCAGTAGCCATGCTGTGGCAGTGGCTCACACAGAAGAACTAGAATGGACTTACAACTAGATTATACAACTATGTACTGGGGCTTTGGGGAGGGAAAACAAAAAAACGAAAGAGGAAGATTGGCAACAGATGTTAGCTCAGGACGAATCTTTCTCTGCAAAAAAAAAAAAGGGGGGCCGGCCCCACGGCTTAGCAGTTAAGTGCGCGTGCTCCGCTGCTGGTGGCCCGGGTTCGGATCCCGGATGCACACCGATGCACCACTTCTCCAGCCATGCTGAGGCCGCGTCCTGCGTACAGCAACTAGAAGGATGTGCAGCTATGACATGCAACTATCTGCTGGGGCTTTGGGGGGAAATAAATAAAATCTTTAAAAAAAAAAAAAAGAAGGACCTATAAAGCAATTCATTTTCTAGCAATTTAGCCTTAAAAAAAAGCAAATAAAGGAAACAACCCAAATGTCCATCAATAGGGAGCTAACTAAATGTTGGTGCAGACATACAACAGATAATAATAGACTGAGGTAGATGTATAGGTAACAATACAGAAAGTGCTACAAGACATATTATTAAGTGATTCCATTTTTGTCTTGTTAAAAAAAAAAAAGATAAACGTACTTGGATATATATATAAAATTTCTGTCAAGACATCCAAAATTATCAACAGTGGTTATCTGTGAGGAGCCTAAGTAATATGGTTTAGAGATTTTTCTGTATCAGTATACATAAAGAGAATCTTTTTTCCCAGCTCAAGAGTAGTCAATTACACAGAAAATTTGCAATTTATTTAACTAGTCCCTTACTGATGAACCTTTAGGATCTTTCACATCTTTTGCCATTACAATAGATGATGTAGTGAATAACCATATATATTCATTATTTCAAACATTTACAAGTATATTGGTGAGATAAACTCCCAGACACAAAACTGCTGAGTCAAAAGGCATGTGCATTTAAAATTTTGAATGAAACAGAATTGAAAGCCCAGGAATAAAACCACACATATACAGAGAGCTAATTTTCAACGAAGGAGCTAAGAATATACAATGGAGAAGGGAAAGTCTCTTCAATAAATGGTGTTGGGAAAACTGGACAGCTACATGCAAAAGAATGAAAGTGGACCATCTGTTATCGCCATTCACAAAAATTAACTCAAAATGGATCAAAGAACTGAAGGTGAGACCTGAAACTATAAAACTCATAGAAGAAAATATAGGCAACACGCCATTTGACATTGGTCATAAAGGAATCTTTTCGGATGCCATGCCTAGTCAGACTAGGGAAAGTAAAGAAAAAATAAGCAAGTGGGACTTCATCACACTAAAGAGCTTCTACAAGACAAATGAAACCAGGATCAAAATGAATAGACAACCCACCAGCTGGGAGAAAATATTTGCAAAGCATATATCTGACAAGGGGTTAATCTCCATAATATATAAAGAACTCACACAACTGAACAACAAAAAAACAAACAACCCAATAAAAAAAAGGGCAGAGAAGGGGGCCGGCCCCATGGCTTAGTGGTTAAGTTCGCACGCTCTGCTACTGGCGGCCCAGGTTCGGATCCCGGGCGTGCACCAATGCACTGCTTGTCTGGCCATGCTGAGGCAGCATCCCACATACAGCAACTAGAAGGATGTGCGACTATGACATACAACTATCTACTGGGGCTTTGGGGAGAAAAAGGGGAAAAAAAAAGGAGGAGGATTGGCAATAGATGTTAGCTCAGGGCTGTTCTTCCTCAGCAAAAAGAGGAAGATTGGCATGGATGTTAGCTCAGGGCTGACCTTCCTCACAAAAAAAAAAAAAAAAAAATGGGCAGAGGAAATGAACAGACACTTCTCCAAAGAAGATATACAGATAGCCAATAGGCATATGAAAAGATGTTCAACATCACTAATCAGGGAAATGCAAATCAAAACAACACTAAGATATCATCTCATACCCGTTAGAATGGCTATAATCACCAAGACAAAAAACAACGAATGTTGGAGAGGTTGTGGAGAAACAGGAACCCTCATACACAGCTGGTGGGAATGCAAACTAGTGCAGCCTCTATGGAAAATGGTACGGAGAGTCCTCAAACAATTAAAAATAAAAATACCCTATGGTCCAGCTATCCCACTACTGGGAATCTATCCAACGAACCTGAAATCAACAATCCAAAGAGGCTTATGCACCCCTATGTTCATTGCAGCATTATTCACTATAGCCAAGAAGTGGAGGCAACCCAAGTGTCCCTTGACTGATGACTGGATCAAGAAAATGTGGTACAGGGCCGGCCCTGTGGCTTAGCGGTTAAGTGCGCGCGCTCGACTGCTGGCGGCCCGGGTTCAGATCCCGGGTGCGCACCGACGCACTGCTTCTCTGGCCATGCTGAGCCCGCGTCCCACATACAGCAACTAGAAGGATGTGCAGCTATGACATACAACTATCTACTGGGGCTTTGGGGGAAAAAATAAATAAATAAAATAAAAAAAAAAAAACGAAAAACTTTAAAAAAAAGAAAAGAAAATGTGGTATATATATATATACAATGGATTACTACTCAGCCATAAAAAAAGACAAAATTGTCCCATTTGCAACATCATGGATGGACCTGGAGGGTATTATGTTAAGTGAAATAAGCCAGAAAGAGAAAGACAAACACTGCATGATTTCACTCAGATGTGGAATATAAACCCACACACGGTCAGAGAGAACTGTATTGTAGTTACCAGGGGCAAAGGGGGTGGGGTGTGGGCACATAGGGTGAAGGGAGACATGTATATGGTGATTGACAAACAAAAAGGTACAAGCAAAATTTCACAATGTTATAGACTATTAAGACATCAATTAAAAAAAAAATTTTGAATGATATTGCCAACTGCCTTCTACAATTTATACCTACTAGCAATGAGCGACTCTTCACCTATATTCTTAATTGATTAGATGAAAAATTATATCTCAATATAGTCTAAGTTTGTATTTCTCTTATAATGAATGAAGATAAGCCATCTTTTCATTTGTTCAAGAGCTACTGGTATTTACATTTCTATGTATTAATATTGAAATAAAACTAATCTAATGGAAAAATCTGAAGACTTGATATTTATTATTTTGTACTAGGTGATGTATTTAAGGATATATATATATATGACAGTGGAGTGTTTCATCACTTTATTAAAAGGATAAGCTGCACTATGCACATACTTATCAGATATAGCAATATATTAAATTCTGCAAAGAATTTGTTTTCTGAATCAATCCTAAGTATTCCACAAAAGGGACACAAAAAATAAAAAAAGAACATTAATTTAAAAGACACTTCATTAATAGGAATAAACAGCTTTTAAAATACAATTTGAATCACACTTTCCTTACTTACCGTAGAAACAGAACATTTTCTCCTGCTTCTGTTTCTACAAATAAAATAAAAAATAAGTTTGTTCAAGGATACACTGATAAAGCATTAGAAAAATTGCGTAAGGACATTAACAATAAAAAAAAAAAAAAGAAATTACTAACTGTCCTTACTTTCTGCCCCTCCATGGCTCAAGTTATACTTTTTAAGCAATAAGATAAACAATAAGTGATATAAATTATCTGGTTAGATAGCTGCAGTAAAATTTTATGGAAAACAGATTTAGCAGGGATTGCAATAACATATTTACCTTCAATTTCTGATTTCCTCACTATTTTCTTATGCGGCTCTGTTTGGAATACCCTAGAAGAGAAAATAAAGATTACTGAAAATCTGCAATTTTTAACCAGAACCCTATGGTGTTAATTTATAGTCTGTTTTGAGATAGGTACAGATAACACTTTGATTTGTTTCCTTTTTGCTATACAGCACATACTATTAATATTTCAAATGCCAAAATTAGTTTACTACATTAAAATCTCTTATGGTTTTTTAATGAGCTGTGATTGAATCATTACTTTATCCCTCTCAATTACCTAAAATATTAATTTTATTCAACAAACATTTATTAAGCACTCACTATCTACCTGGTGCTATATACTAGAGTCTGACACATGATCCTTCACCTCAGGGACATTTCACTCTAAGTAGAGAGCTGGATTATAAACATTACTTCACTGACTTTTGTGATTAACAGTTCAGATAAGGTGGCATGGACTCCAGAGGAAGGGATCTCTTTTCATTGGGATGATTAAGAATAACCTTCATGGAGAAGTAGCATTTCATATCTGCCTTGAAGCATCCGACCAGTTCATTTTCATTTGTTAATATTAAGTATCATTCATGATATAGAAGCTCTTAATTAGAAGTAGAATTTTATTTCAATTACAAAAAAGCAGCAAACATTTGCATGCATGCTGTGTGCCAAGCACTGTGCTATGTTCTTTACATGCATTTTTAATGATTATAACAATTACCATGTTATTTTACAGATGTAGATATTGAGGGTCATAAAGGTTAAGTAACTCCCAAGGTCATATAACTGGTAAGTGGCAGAGCCAAAATGCAAACCCAAATCTCTCTGACTTCAAAACCTGAGTTTATAACTACAAAGCTATACTTGAAACAGCTTTTCTTCAAATAATTTATAATAGAAAAATAGAAGCCTTTTTATTCAAATATGAGCAGGATCAGTAGTTGGTCAATCAATCAAAAAATATCTTTTAAAATAAGGAATCATAACTGATCCTTACACACCTTAAACATTTAAAAAAATTAAAACACATAAGTGAATTTTAATTTGCAAATCTCCTAACATCAATCTGAGGTCTTTACTCTGAGTGTGGATCTACTGTACAATTTTAGTGTATTTATCAAGTGAAATAAACAAAGAAATCTTGAAGCAACGTGAACACAGAATCCTTCTAAATTTTTAGGAATGTTTTCCCTATCTTTTTTTTTGGTGAGGAAGATTAGCCCTGAGCTAACATCTGTTGCCAACCCTCCTCTTTTTGCTGAGGAAGATTGGCAGTGGGCTAACATCCATGCACATCTTCCTCTGCTTTATATGTGGGACACCTACCACAGCATGGCTTGATGAGCGGTGCACAGGTCCGTGTCCGGGATCTGAACCCGTGAACCTTGGGCCACCGAGGCAGAGTGTGCAAACTTAACCACTATGACACCAGGCCAGCCCTTGATTTCCCTATCTTTTACGTTGTCTCACCCATACCAAATTTGAAAGCATTTTAAAAAATAAATTCACCTGTATCAAGTTTTTCCTAGCCATTCAATATAATTTTCATAGAAATAACTATCTTAGAGCTCATTTTCAATCAGCTCTCAGGATCTGAAGTTTACGGACATGACAGTGTGTTTAGTGTGCTATAGGTATCAGTATGTTTTACAGGGGGAATGAAAAATACAGGTTAATTCTAACAATTCAGTTAGGTGGGAGTTGTTAAGAGAGCTTTTATTATACTTGTTTCTATATCTAGAATCTTGTAATTTTTTCAATTAATCTATTTTAACAAAGAATACCTTTTTGAAACATTACTTATACACTGTTTATGACATTTTCTGTGATAACATACACTATCTCATTTTGGCCATGCAATAACACTTTGAGAAATGTAAGGACTATTACTTCCATCTTAAAAAAGGAGGAAACTGATGCTCTGATAAAGTTAAATGACTTGAACTATCAAGTTTTAGTAATAAGCCAGAACTTGTTCCAGGTTTTTTGGTTTTTGAATCTGAAATTCCTTTTACTATCCCAAAGCCATTTTAGAAAAGTAACTATAGTGAGTAGATTATTTCCAAGGAATGGAAAGGGTGGAATAGGTATAACAGCATTTGGGAGGGGTAATCAGAAGTAGGGGAAAAAGGAGTAGACTTAATCACGATACCTATATTATAATTGTGGCTCTGTCACTACTTATATTACCTTGGGAAAGCCATATCACCTCCCTGGGTTTAACCTTCTCATCTAAAAAATGAAGAGTTTGGACTAGATTTTCTAAGGTTCCTTCTAATTTTAACATTCTATCATCCAAAACACAAATTTGAACAGAAAATCCCGGATTTTCTCATATATCTAACTGTACTTTACAGACAGATAAGAAAGGAATCCTATCCCAGGCACTCCTTGTCTAAAAAGCTCCCTGTTGACTTCTGGGAACATGTTTTTTATTAGCCAAACTCATAAGACAAACAAAAGAAACAGAATAAGCCAAGTAATCATTAATAACACAGAGCAAATCTGAAAAACAAAGAAAACAGAAAGAACAGAAGCATTATAATACCAAGCAGATAGACCTAGAAAATATAATACAATCTAATTCCACAAATAATGAGAGTACTAGAGGAAAAAGAAAATACCAACAATGTGAAAAACATAATAGAAGACATCATAATATAATGCTTAAGAATACTTGATGTGAGGGGGCTGGCCCAGTGGCACAAGCGGTTAAGTGCACATGGTCCGCTGCGGCAGCCTGGGGTTCGCCGGTTCGGATCCCGGGCACACACTGACACACCACTTGTCAAGCCATGCTGTGGTGGCGTCCCATATAAAGTGGAGGAAGATGGGCACGGATGTTAGCCCAGGGCCAGTCTTACTCAGCAAAAAAAGAGGAGGATTGGCAGATGTTAGCACAGGGCTGATCTTCCTCACACACACACAAAAAGAATACGTGATGTGAAATAGTCCAAGGTCTGACCACTACCCCTTACCTTAACAGGTATAGGAACCTGAGCAAGTTACTTAAGCTAAGCCTGTTTCATTATCCATAAAATCAGATACGATTGTTAGGATTCAATGAGTGATAAATGCATATAGTGTTATAGTACTTGTCACATTGTAAACATTCAATAATATTAGCTATTAATAATAAATCACATTTTGACATATATAAACCCACTTTCAATTATTTGAGACAGGTGATCTTCCTATATTAAAATGATCATTTCAACATGATTATTGAGATGACATAGTTTTTTGGAGAAATAATTCAGAAGAAAGCACCTTCAAGCACCTATTGTCAAGTTTTTAAAATCTAAGAGGCAAAAAAAGCTCTTAGAAGTTGCCTCTAGGAAGGAAACAAAATATTTTTTAAATCTAAAAATAAGAATGACATCTGATCTGCCCATTCCAACTTTATGGAAAATAAGGATTTGGATTTAAAAATAAAAACAATGACAATAACAAAAATCAGCTTGATTGTTCCATCTTACTTGTTAAGACCAAAAAAAATTCTAGATGAATTAAACATATTAAAAATGAACCGATAAAAAGACCAGAAGAAAATACAGGGACTTACAAAAACACGGGCAGATATGACCATATAAAAATTTAAGACATATTTATATAGGAAAATATCCAATAAGCAAAATTAACATGGGTAAAAAAATTTGCAATACAGATGAAAAAGGGCTGATATCCGTAATAGTTAAAAGAACTTTAACAAGTCAAAAGCAAAAGACAACTATTCACATCAAGAAGAAGAAAGACCTAGAAACAATGACTAACTCAATAGTGAGGAAAACCTATAGCATGCAGGTTGTGGTCTCTAAATGCCATTTCCTACTACAAGGAATTGGGCTCGCTCCTTGGAGAACTGGCTGATTACAGGTCTGGGACAGATAATACACAAAATGAACATAAATATCTTGTTATACTATGAAGCAAAGAGGCTATCAAAAATTATGGGGTTATGTCAAGAGGTTAGAAACTAATCTGAAGAGATTCCTCTGGTCAAAGACAGAATAATTTGAGTATCAATAAAAATAATAATTACAACATACTGAAGCACATTAAATATAATTAAGTTCATGATTTAGATACTTAGATTTAGATATTTAGATAAAGATCCTAGGGAAAAAAAACCTCATTAGTCAACTTTGAGGGATACTTACAAATCAACTCATTACACTGAAAACTCGTAAATAAAGGGGAAAAAAAACCCTCAAGCATTTAACCTGACTTTCCTATGTGAACCATAATTCGGAGTATACAAATAGCTGTTATGGGGAAAGTCCTCTCAACAGAAGTGCTGTTAATAAATGAAGAAGGTATGACTGAATGAGAATATTAGCAACTAGCAAAATCTAAAGCAATAATGGATTTAGGCAATGATCATCAACGGCTGTTAACATCACAAAAAGAAAGATAACTGAACATTAAGTGCCATCTGATGGAAGCACAGGATGCTACCTATGAAGTATTCTTGTCTCAAACAAGAAATTTAAGTCAAATCAAACCTTCCAGATCTAACAACCAATTGACAGGAAATCTAGAGTAAAAGTACATACTAAACAATATTATCCCAGGGGGATACAACCGGCAAAACCCAGAATGTGGGACACTCTATAGGACAAACAACCCAGTTTCTTAAAAAATAAATTATAAGGGGATAAAAAGGTAGGTAGAGCCTACAGATTAAGAGACTTAAAAGACATATCAACCAAACGGAATGTGTTAACCTTGTTTGGATACTGAGTTGCACCAATCATCCAGGGAAAAAAATGGAGACAATCAGAGAGAAATATGAACACTGACTAGATGTTTGACGATATCATGGAATTACTGTCAACTTTTAAAAGATGTGCTAATAGTATTATGAATATGTTTTTTAAAAATATACTGTATCTTTTAAAGATATAACTAATGAACTATATCTGGGATTCACATAAAAATAACTCAGTGGGTGAGGAAAGGGAAGTAAGTGGGGGTGTAGTGAAACAAGAGTGGCCATAGTTGACAACTGTTGTAGCTGGAAAATGGGTACCTGAGTTTTCATGATACTGTTTTCTCTACTTTTGTGTGTTATCAATTTTCCATGATAAAATGGAGAAAAAAAAGGAAAAGGAAATTGAAAGTCTTTTTTTTTTTACTTCCCAATGACCTCTCTTTTTATAACTCCAATTTCCTTATACATGTGTTTGTAATCCAAACCTTTGTACTCTCTCAAGAGTTTTTGCATATATTTTTTTCCTTTTTTTTGGTGAGGAGGACCAACCCTGAGCTAACATCTGATACCAATCCTCCCCTTTTATCTTGAGGAAGATTGGCCCTGAGCCAACATCTGTGCCCATCTTCCTCTACTTTATATGGGACGCAGTGCGTCCATATATAAAGCCCATATAGCAAGCGGTGCATTGGTGCATGCACGGGATCCGAACCTGTGAACCCCAGGCTGCCGAAGGGGAGCGCGTGCATCTAACCGCTTACGCCACCGGGCAGGCCCCGAGTTTTTGCATATTTTAACTCTTGTTTCTAATTATGGAATAAAAGCCTTTATTCAATGCTTCAAAAAAAGATAAGGATGAAAATAAGCAACATTAGAAATAAGAAAGTGGACTATAAATACAGACTATTTTTTTTAAAAATTATAAAAGAATATCATGTATAACTTTAAACCTATACATTTGAAAAAAATCATTGATTGTCTAGGAAAATATAAATGATCAAAATTAGCTAAAGCAGCAGCAGAAAACCACAATAGATAGTAAATAATAAACCACCTTAGGAATAAGAAAGTAGACTATAGATACAGAGATTATTTTTTAAAAATTGTAAGAGAATATTATATATAACTTTAAATCTATATTTGGAAAAAAACCAATGATTTTCTAGAAATATATAAATGATCAGAATTAGCTGAAGAAGTACAAAACCAGAATAGATAGTAGACAGAGTAGAAACTGAAAAAGTAGTCAGAGATGAACACCTTATAAAGGTACCTGGTCCATTAAAAATGAAAAAAGATCTATCCATAAACTCTTTATGTACTGATATGGAAAGATCTCCAAGATATATATATATAGTTAAGTTTTAAAACAAAAAGCAAATACAGACAAACATAGATAACATGCTACCATTTATGTACAAAAGTAAGAAAAAAGAAAAAAGAATGCATATCTGTGTTGGCTTGTATATGTATGAAAATTATCTAAAAGAACAATAAGATCTATTTGGGGAATAGAAGCTCAATAGATGGGGCAAAAGAGTGGCTAGGAAACTAAATAGTTTTGTAGGTCACTTCCAATAAACTTATATAAAGTGTTTACAGCATAGAAAATAAAAAGCTTTCAGATTGATTTTTATAAAACTTATAGAACACTAACAATAAAACCAAGTAAGAATAGTACACAAAAAATCTATAGGCTAGGGTCGGCCCCAGGGCTTAGCGGTTAAGTGCGCGCGCTCTGCTGCCGGTGGCCCGGGTTCGGATCCCGGGTGCGCACCAACGCACCGCATCTCCGGCCATGCTGAGGCCGCATCCCACATACAGCAACTAGAAGGATGTGCAGCTATGCCATACAACTGTCTACTGGGGCTTTGGGAGAAAAAATAAATAAATAAATAAAATTATTAAAAAAAAAAATCTATAGGCCAATCTCACATATGAATATTAGTGCAAAAATCCCAAAATATTAGCAAATTGAATCTAGTAATGTTTTAAAAGAATATTTTATGACTAAGTTGGATTTATCCTAGGAATGCAAAGATAATTCAACATCCAAAAAGTTATTTTATCATAATTAAAGATTAAAGTAGGATAAACTTGGGGCCAGCCTGGTGGCGCAAGTGGTTAAGTGCGTGTGCTCTGCTGCGGCGGCCTGGGGCTCACCGGTTCGGATCCTGAGCGTGCACCAATGCACTGCTTGGCAAGCCATGCTGTGGTGGCGTCCCATATAAAGTGGAGGAAGATGGGCACAGATGTTAGCCCAGGGCCAGCCTTCCTCAGCAAAAAAAAAGAGGAGGATTGGCAGATGTTAGCACAGGGCTGATCTCCTCACAAAAAAAAATAAATAAATAAAGTAGGAAAAACTCTATAGCTCTTTTATTTATTTATTTTTTTAATAATTTTATTTATTTATTTATTTTTCCCCCAAAGCCCCAGTAGATAGCTGTATGTCATAGCTGCACATCCTTTTAGTTGCTGTATGTGGGACGCAGCCTCAGCATGGCCGGAGAAGCGGTGCGTTGGTGCGCGCCCGGGATCCGAACCTGGGCCACCAGCAGCAGAGCGCGTGCACTTAACTGCTAAGCCACGGGGCCGGCCCTATAGCTCTTTTAATAGATGCTCTAAAAGCATTTAATAAAATCCAATACTCATTCTTGATTAAAAACAAAACAAAAATCTGCAACAATATAGTTAAATTTACCCAACAATAAAGGGAGAATAGATGTACTAATTTTAACAAATGTAAATAGGTTGAACTACTCTATTAAAAAATGGCTATTGACTAAATTAAAATTTTTAAAAACTCAATCTACAACTATAATGCACAAATTGAAAATTTTCCAAGTTAGGAAACTATCTATGGACAAACATAGCAAAGGTAAAGATAATTATGAAGTTATACAACACATTAAGTTTCACAGCAAAAAAAGTATTAGCAGTAAACAAGGTTGCTATCATACAACAGAAGGAAAATTAACAATGAAAACTAACAATGATGAATGACCCCAATTACAAATAAAGAAAAAAGATGCCAGAGGAGAAAAAATTAAAGAAATACAAAGAGGAAAATGTAGAAATATATTTCCTCAAAATCCAAATGTTAGAAAGCCACATATTAGGTAGGCAAAGAGTAAGTGGTAAACCAACATAATATAAATAATAAAGCATATTTAATAAACATATGGAGAGACCTAACCAAAAGGGCAAAATAATTCTTTCCTCCATTTTTCTGTAAATTTATCTTAATTACAGTTGTTCCTTGCTTTCTCTCTCTCTTTTTTTTAAATCTACATAGTATCTATGATATAAGGAAAGCTTTCAAAGGTGTAATCTTGCAAAAACTATTTATGAACCAAGAAAGACACATGCTTTAGTAAACACAAAATTTAAAGGGCTCAATAACACATAAACTTTAAAATATTTTCTTCAATACTTCCTAAGTAGATGAGGAAGTAAAAAATGAAACATTTCAAAATGAGAAAAAAAAAGTATAAAGGAACAAAATATAGAAAAAATAGTAATGGCAAATAAAGTACAAATTAAAATAACTAAGAGATACATTATAATCAATCAAATTAGCTAAAAATAAGTACTAAAATCTAATGTTTACATATATTGGGAAAATATGTACATTATTAAATGGTTTAGTGGTACTAAAACCAATAACAGAAATGTAATAAATGCTACACAAATGCTTCTTCCTTTAACCCCAGCAATTCTACTTTGGCAAATATAATCCCAACGAAGTAACTCAAAAGAGAAAAGGTACTTTACGCAAAAATATCTAATGCAGCACAAGGAAGAATCAAATGGCCAACAGAAAGTTAAAAATGATTATTTTTACATTAACATGAACATACCTAAAGAAAACATGTGAAAGAAAAGTCAGTCTGAAACAAACGGGAGAAAATGAGTTATTAAATCAAACTGGCCATACCTATTCAAGGAGTATACAGGTAGAGGCATTCAAGCCTTTGCAATAGACATGTATTTGTGTGCTACTGTGGAGATGGATTAATTAGGTTTCATAGCCTGGTGCCATTAAACATTCTGAATCATTCACATAACTAATAGTTCAGATTCCATGATTGGCAAGTCATATTTACATTACAAATTACAGACAAAAACAATATAGAGTCTGCAAATCGAAAGGCAAGATCTAGGAAGACAGTGGCAACTTCACCAAGAAATATACCACCTAGGGAAGTCTACTGGCAGGCAACACCCAGTCTTCCCTGATTATACCAAATCTTATTATGCGTCTTTCTTTTTATTCCCCCAAATTCAACATATATCAAATATTGACAACTCATATTTATCCAGGAAGACATTAATTGATTTATGGATAGAAGATGAATAGAAAAAAGTTATAAAGCAATTAAAATTACTATCAATTTACAACAAAAAACTTGTATTTCAGAAGGCATCTTACTGTTGGGAACTACTCAGTAACTGAAAGATGTCATGCATTGTCGACTGCAAAGTGGGAACTCCCTTCTTCACCCCTTACCAACAATTACCTACTACTGCTCCAAGGAAAACAAGAAAACAGGTTCCTAATAGCCCCACAACCGAAATCCTGGGCAACTATACTTATCCTAATGCAAAATCATGTTTTATATGACAATTGTAGAACTGGAGTTACTTAATTTGTCTGATCCTAAAGGCTTGATAAGGTAAAGTTTTAGGGGGACAGAGAGGAACAAATGAGAAATGAAAAACAATGCAGATCAAAGCCCAGGACTTTGCTAGGAAGATTCTGGACATGAAACAATCAGGCCTCATCCTGAAATGTTCAAATTCAAGGTTAGATTGATCTAGGAGCTCACCTCACAAAAGGTCAAACAAGCATTCTGAGGTATACAGAAAACAAAATTTGAAGAAGCTGATATTAAATAGTCTGTTTTTATGATAGCTAAAAACAGAGCCTTTGTTTACAGAAAAACAGCTACCCTGGAATACCACCACATCCCTTTCCCCTCCACAACAATGTCCTGAAAATAGTTGGTTCAGGAAAAACCAACCCACTCAATTATGAGTAAAAAGCATAGAATCTATAAAGACACCATAAGATTAAAAGGAAGAAAAGCAAAACATAATTTATTAACATAAGAAAAACGCTCATCAGAAAGATGTTGTCCCAGAGCAGATGAAAATTGTATATACACAGTTTGCTACAGATTTAAAAAGCATAATAAAGCAGTCATCTCTGTGAAAGAATACAAATGAAAGCAAAAGTACAAGAACTCAAGGAAGACATGGCGAGACAGCAGGAAATGAAACACAAATAGATCCAACTCGTGAAAGAAGCAGAAGAAAAAATATAATCATCACAGGAAGAAGGCAAAACTAGAAAGGGCACAAGGGTGAACAAGCACTTTGGAAAATATGTTTAAGGACATAAAGAAAATTTTTAAAATGAACAAAGTTAAAAAAATAAAAAGAATTAAGAGAGAAAATAATATACATAGAAGAAAAGCAAAGAATATTTGTGCATAAATTATTGAGTCCGTAAAGAAATGTAAAATAATGGAACAGAAAAAGATATTTAAAGATTTTTTTTTTTTTTTTTTTTTTTTTTTTTTTGCCCCCAAAGCCCCAGTAGATAGTTGTATGTCACAGCTGCACATCCTTCTAGTTGCTGTATGTGGGACTCGGCCTCAGGATGGACAGAGAAGTGGTGCCTCGATGCGCACCCGGGATCCGAACCCGGGCCGCCAGCATCGCAGCGCGTGCACTTAACCACCAAGCCACAGGGCCGGCCCCAGAAAAAGATATTTAAAAGTTAATTCCAGATTCAAGACCCAAAACAGTCAAAATAGAGATGTACCCTAGTAATGTCAATAAACTTCAAATATAAAGGAAAAAAAATCCGTTAGGCAGCCTGTCAAAGACACAGTCATTTACGAGGGGGAAAAATCATTCACTCCTCAGATATGTTCATAGAAATATTTAATGCCAGAAGACAACAGAATCACATTACATTTCCTTCCTTAAGGAAAGAAAACGTGAACTGAAGATTTTATATCCAGGTAAACCTTCTTCTTCACGTATAAAGGCTATAACAGTTTTGCGCTCCCAAAAACTCAGGGAATATTGTTTCAATGAACCCTTCTCACGGAAACAATAAGAGAACAAACTTCAACCAACAAAGAGATAATTAGGGCAACTACAGCAAAGGAAATGATGTGAACATGTAAATAGATATAATACAACTAAGACAAACAAATGTGACAGATGCCCTAATGTCAAACACTGAGAGAGAAAGAGAGGTGATAAAACTAAAACAAATAGGGAAGGGAATGAGGACGGGGAGAAAGTGAGAGGCAAAAGTATGTTAAGTAGGGCCCGCCTCGTGGCTTAGCGGTTAAATGCGCGCGCTCTGCTAATGGCCCGGGTTCAGATCCCGGGTGCGCACCGACACACCGCTTCTCCGGCCATGCTGAGGCCGGGTCCCACACACAGTAACTAGAAGGATGTGCAACTATGACATACAACTATCTACTGGGGCTTTGGGGAAAAAAAGGAGGAGGACTGGCAATAGATGTTAGCTCAGAGTCAGTCTTCCTCAGCAAAAAGAGGAGGATTAGCACGGATGTTAGCTCAGGGCTGATCTTCCTCACACACACACAAAAAAAGTATGTTAAGTAACTATCTATTATAACTGCCAAAGGATATCACATAAAACAATGGAGTTTTAATTGAAATTTAAGCATATTTAATGGTACAAAGGTATATTATTGACTAAAATTGGGTTGGGGGAAAGGAAATAGACTAATTTTACCATTGTTCATACCTGGTTAAACAATACACAAAGGTATACCAGGCAAATGAAAACAGAAATACAGCAGAGACAGGAATCTTAATATCAATCTAGGTAGAATTTGGGTCAAAAAGCAATAAACAAAGCAAAGATGAGTATTTCATAATGCTAGTAAGTGCAATTCTGAATGAAGATATAACAATGATGACTATGCACCAGAGAACATAGAATCAGAATTCATAAAGAAGTACAACTGGAAATATAAAGAGAGAGTGAGATGCACTATCAATAAGAGACTAATTTACCTCTCTATTAAATTCATGACAGATTAAAGTGACTAAAACTATACAAGATCATAGAAAACCCAAATATCACAAGGTATAAGGTAGATATAATTGATATATATCAAATTCTACCCCTTAAATACAAAATATATCTTCTTTTCAAGTACCTATGGATCATTCACAAAAATTGATCATATACAAGATCACAAAGAAAATTTCAATAGAAATCAAAATAATGATTAACATTCTCTAATTACAATATAACTAAAAATTAATGACAACAAAATGCCCTTACCACTTATTTTTAAATTCTTTAATAAACAACTTTGGACTTCATGAGGAAATACATATATACTGCTGAACATCAAGAAAATAATCATAAAAATACTACATATAAGAATTACATTAAATTAATAAATTAACTTAGGGAGCAGTGACACCTTTATGATGTTGAATCTTTTTATTCAGAAACTTGTTATATCTTCACTTGTACAATTCTTCTTTAGCATCCTTCAGGAACGGTTTTTTCTTTATATGCTTTTATTAAATTTACAGCAACAAAATATAATGAAAAAAGACATTTATCTTCTCTCTGGTTATTATTTATGTATAGGAAATATATTGATTTCCATATATTAATTTTGGCTCCTGCTACTTATTGTCTGTAGAGGTATTTCAATAAATATTCTTGGATTTTCCTAATATACAATCATTTAATCTACAAAAGGTAATAAATTTACCCTCATCTTTCCAATGTTTGTAACTCCAATTTCTCTTTCTAGTTTATTTTTGTTGGTTAGCACCTCCAATACAATACAAACACAAATATAATACAAATAACAAAAGACATAGTTATTTTGTTCCTGACTTTAGAGGGAATGCTTTCATGTTTCTCTTTTAAGGATAATGCTGAATAACAAACTTTTAAATAACAATTCTCTAATACTTATCTAATTGAAACACAGATTATCAGAGTTAGTACCAGCATATTTGACTTAACACACAAAAAAGCATTACCTGTAACATTTTAATTATTTCTCCTTTCAACTTACTTTATAGTATCTGCAAAGCTGACTCGACGAGAGCTTTTCTTATTTCTCAAAGCATTGGATTCCTAAGGGCAGAGTATATATGTTATGATTCTTTTTTTTTTTTTTTTAAAGATTTTTATTTATTTATTTTTTTCCCCCCAAAGCCCCAGTAGATAGTTGTACGTCATAGTCGTACATCCTTCTAGTTGCTGTATGTGGGACGTGGCCTCAGCATGGCCGGAGAAGCAGCGCATCAGTGCGTGCCCGGGATCCGAACCTGGGCCGCCAGCAGCGGAGCGCGCGCACTTAACCGCTAAGCCACGGGGCCAGCCCTGTTATGATTCTTAATGAAGGTAATTAGGTCTCCAGAGTACTAGACAGAGACTAAGTCTTATTCTCAATTAATTTGATATTATTATTAATTTTGATAATTATTATTAATTTGATTCTCCAAAATATCCCAACGTAGAAGCACTTAACAAACATGAATATGATTTTCAATGTGAGTGATAAACATACTGACACAAATAACATACATTTAAGGAAGGTGATTATTGTCCCTTACTTATCTCTCTCCTTTTAAATGAATGGTTATTTCGCTGTCAAGAAGAAAGACTGGGGACAAACCAAGTGAAAAGTTGCCTGTTATGGTAACCTTACTATACTATTTTTTATTTTATTTATTTATTTATTTATTTATTTTTTTGTGAGGAAGATCAGCCCTGAGCTAACATCCAAGCTAATCCTCCTCTTGTTGCTGAGGAAGACCGGCTCTGAGCTAACATCTATTGCCAAAGCCCCAGTGGATAGTTGTATGTCATAGTTGTACATCCTTCTAGTGCTCTATGTGGGACACTGCCTCAGCACGGCTTGATGGGCAGTGCATAGGTCTGTGCCCAGGATCTGAACCGGCAAACCCCGGCCGCTGAAGCCAAGCACGTGAACTTAACTGCTACGCCACTGGGCCGGCCCGGTTTTTTTGATAGTAGCCATCCCACTGAGTATGAGGTGATATCTCATTGTGGTTTTGATTCGCATTTCCCTAATTATTAGTGATGTTGAACATCTTTTCATTATAATATACTATTTTAATTTTCCCTCATCTTCCTTAACAAGAGCAAACATTTTTACTCACATTGATATCAAACACAAAAAGCAAAAGAGAGAGAAACAAACAAAATCCAGAGAATTTTATTGTGTTAATTCTGAATATCTGAGCATAAGTCTTATTATAACAAATAATCAAGAATGTTCATCCTCTCTGTTAAGACCTTATCAGACACTACAGGTGGCCTTGAGCTTAATATGACAATACTGACATAGTAAATATTGGGACTAACAGAGACTAATGTATTTCTTTTTTAAAAAAACCCAAAATTGAAATTTGTGTGGTATATTGGAAAGAGCACTAGGCTAGAAATTAGGAGATTAGAGCTCCAATTTGAAGTCTGCCACTAACCAGATGTGTGGGCTTAGACAAAACGTTTAACCTCTTTGGACTTTATATTTCTTGTCTATAAAATGAAGGACCTAGATTCAAGATTACTGATGAGGACCTTGGTTTTAAAGCTCTTTGAGTCTATGAATGTCATTTATTCATTCAACAGTCATTGAATTTTTAAAAAATACATACACAAATACACCAGATCTGTGCTGAGTAACAGAAAAATAGTGGTGAAGGAAACAAATACAGTCTCTACTCTACTGGGGATTAATAATGAGACAGATATTAAAACAAAAAAATCCACACAAATATAAAATTCAAAGTGTGATATGAAGGAAAACTATATAAAAAAAAATAATTTAGCCTGAGAATCAGGGAATTTTTCTTTGAGGAAGTACATTTAAGTTGAGACCTGAAGGATTATTTAGAAGTTAGTAGAGAAGAGTTAGAGTTAGTAGTTAGAAGAGCTGGGTAGAGGGAAAGCATTCTAGGCAGAATGTGTGCAGAGGCCCTAATGTATTTGAGAAAGATTAGAGAGGCCAAAATAGAGAGAGCACTCAGAATTATATATCTCCAAAACTATATGCATTTCATCAATCAACAAAATGTACTGAAAGTCAACTATATACTAGGCACAATAAATTAAAAAAATACATGATAAAGTTCCCACCTGCAGGGAGTTCTCCATTTAGAATAGACATTAGTAAACAACTACAATAGAAGGTGGTAAGGGATGATTTTTTCAGAAAAGTGATACCAAAGCTGAGTTTTGAAGGACAAATAGGAATTACCAAAAAAAGAAGGCTACAGATTTATGATAAAGCAAGTATGATAAAATTTTAATTGCAGAACCTAGGTGATGACTGAGCACTGTAAAATTCTTTCTACTTCTCAGTATGTTTGAAAAAAAATTTAATAAAATGTTGGGAGAAAAAAGAATAAGGGATTAACCATTTAGACAGAGGGAACATCATATGTAAACATTTGCAGGCTTGACAGTTCATGCTTTGTTTGGGGAATAGTAAGAAGTTCCAAGAGGTAAGACATATGTGTGAGAGCGGCAAGAAAGAAGGCTGGAAAAGTAAATAGGGGTTAAAAGTCACAAATGCCAGTGTATTCAAGTGTTTGGATTTTAACCTGAAGGCCATGGGATTTTTGCTTGTACACATTCAATTGACAATGATTTATGATGTTCTCTCTTCATATAGCTAATAAAGTTCCTGACTATTGGAAATATCACTGAAAATAATCATCTATAAAGCACTTATATAAAGCTTATATATATAAAGCACTAGACTTACCTGAACTGTTTCATTCCCACTTCTGAGGTCCTGAAGAGGACTCCTTGGGGGTTTCAAAATCTAGAAGAGTTAAAATTTTTCAAAAAAATCTGGCATATCTATATATATATTTTTTTTGTGTGTGTGAGGAAGATCAGCCCTGAGCTAACATCCATTCTAATCCTCCTCTTTTTGCTGAAGAAGACTATGGGCCTGGGCTGACATCCATACCCATCTTCCTCTACTTTATATGGGACGCCACCACAGCATGGCCTGACAAGCGGTGCGTCGGTGTGCACCCGGGTCTGAACCCGGGCCACCAGCAGCGGAGCCCGCGCACTTAACCTCTATGCCACGGGGCCGGCCTCTGGCATATCTATATTTTAATAATCAGTTCATTTCAAGTTATACTATGAGCCGAAAGGTAGAGCTGCTAAATATCCTGTAAAAACCTCAAAAACTCCTCAAATTCATACTGTTCAGTGCTTTACTTTGTGGCTGGTTTAAATATTTGGCATCTATTATCTTCTCCCTGCCCACCTTCCCCAATTATTTTGCCTACTCTCATTCCATGTGGTCTGGGTAAAGCTCCACCTCGACTCTAGGATACAACATGTAGCCCTAGTCTAGAACAATCTGCACATGATATTCTCTCATCAACAGTGATTGGTTCAGGAATGAGGACGTGACCCATATCAAGATAATCAAGCTAACATGATTCAATCCTGAGTCTTTTGTTTTTTTATCTTGAGGAAATAGATTCTATTTTTCATGTAGGACTTGAACCTGGAAGCTGGGAGAGCTACATATACTGTAGTAACTATGGGGAGAGAGCCTGTCTGATAATGGAGATTACCCAGGGGAAGCAGTCAGAATAGGAAAAGTGAAAGGAAATCCTAGTACTAGCGTATTATTGGATATTGTAGTCAGTAAGTAGTACCTAAAGTCATCCCTATCTTTGGATTTTTCAGTTTTATAACCCATAAATTTTGCGCTTAATTCAGTTTGAGTTGGATTTTTTGTGTCTTGCTACAGCTTTGTACATCAGTTTAAATATATTTTTTAACAGCTCTATTGAAGTATAAATTTACATAGCATAAAATTCATAAAATTACTATGAAATTCATAAAATACAAATTCTAGTACATTTACAGAATTGTGTAACCAGGATAAATATTTGTCTTTATCCAGAGAGCAATAAGAACCAGTGGGGGTGGGATGGTGATGTCACAGTCAAAATTACTGTGGTATATAATCACTATTCAATAAAAGGTAACAATTATTGACTTAAGTGTTTCTTACTGAAGAATGTCGTCTTCTAACAGGTCTCTCTGTATTGTCGCTGAAAGAGGAAAAAAAAATTTATACACACATTGGTAAAAGACTGAATTTTCAAAAGCCATCACCACAGCATCCCTTACATGCTTTTAAATTGGCCACCACTTTCACTTAACACTTGGCATCACTTTCACTTAACAAAATTTATAAGACTTCAAATTTAGTATTTAGGAAGTCAGTGTTTAAAAATACATATTGTATACTACAAGACTTTCTCTTGAAAAAAAACCAGTAGAACATAATTTACCGTAATTACAGAGGTACAATTATAATATAAATGGGCTATAAATCAAGAGACTCTAGTTCTGGTTTTACTACTGTGTGATTTTTAGACCAGGTTTTGAAAATTCAAATCCCTATGGAGGCCAAATAGATAATTTAGAACGTGCAAGAAAAACAGGTGGCGTTGAAACTACAATGGAAAGTTCCTGCCTGGTCTAAAAGTTACAGCTATTACACTGCTCAGGTTAGTTGTTGCCAAGCAAAAGTATAAGCCCAGTGTTGCCACACTTGATTTTTCAAGAGAAGCTGAAAATCTAACTGTTGTACGAAATCTTGAGATTTTGAAATTTTGGCAACTAATTCAAAAATTAAAAAACATTGTTGAGGAAAAAAAAAATTAGGTCTATAGGCTGTAAACAGGCCACCAGTTTGTGAGGCCAACTCTAGACAAATCATTTCATTTCCTTGGGCCTCAATTTTCTCATCCTTAAATTGAAGAGATGGGAGGTGGTCTCTAAAGTCCCTCTCAGTTTTGACTCTAGATGAGTTTATACAAAGACATGGCAAGCAGGGCGATGACTTTGTAACATTTACTTCTTTTCCCTGGAACAGAATGGAAAAAGATTTCAGAAGTTATCAAATAGGTGTTACTAGTAGGAAAAGTATCTTTCTCTGATAAAAAGTTGAATGTTTTCAGTTGCATTGCATGAACTTACTTTTCTTCATTAGCCTCTGAAGACATCCCATCCATTTTTGAAGAAAAATTTTTTCTGTAACAAATACACAATATTAGAAAAGGTGAGAAAGAAGGAAGAGAAAGTACAGTCTATGAAGAGATAAGAGCAGAATTGTGACTTCAGGATTACTTTCTGGGGAAGACCAAAAAAAGGAAGGAAAAGCTACACTATGAGGCTATAAAACATGAGAAATTTTGAGGAGTTTAAACTACTCTGTTATAATTAATGCTTCTGGAAAATTCTCATATTCAAGATAAAATCAGTGACCAACTCTGATTGGGATGATATATACATTAATGGTTCAAATAAAAATTCACCCTAGCTTATAAGAGCTTATGGATCACATAAAAATTCAACCTCAAAATGAAGCCAATTAGACATCAAAATACAATGGATTTGCATAATATGCATACTTTTATGAAAATTCAACTATAAATACTCAGCAAAAAAATTTTAAGACAGAAAAATAACATTTTAAATAGTGCAGCTGATTATGCTTACAATTCCACTCAATGAGCATTTGTCTTGGAAAGACTGTGAAATAAAAGGCATAACCTGAAGTTTCCTCAATTGGTCTCAGTTCCTACCTACCTGTAACTAAGATAAATTTTCACTTTATGCATTAACTTTAGAACCTCACCCCTAGGTAAGAAAAAATTCCATTGCAGATTTCAGAAAACAGAATAGCTAGAGATTTTGACTCAACAATCTTAGCATTTCTACCATAACACTAAATTAATACCATATACATAAACTGTTAGAATCAATGTTCTTACTTTTAGCAGTAAGTAAAAAAAAAAACAGGTACTTAGAAGATATCTTATTTTACATGCTTTCATCATACATAACAAAAGCCAAATTAGGGAACAATTCTTCAAAATGAACATGAACTTCATACTGAAATAAAAGTCTGCTTATTTTTTATTATCAATTTATTCAATTAGCTATCAATATAGACAAGATGATGGGCATCTTCTAGGATTTGATCTATGACCCTCTCCTTTTGTTCTTCATCACTTGATCAGTCGGCTTACCCATTCTTCTAGTTTCACTTACCTCCTGTTCACAGATAACACTCATTATGTAGTTAAAACAATATTTTTGATTTTTAAATTTTAGCTTTTATGTACACAGTATAAGAAGTTGATTTTACAAGATCGGTTTTTTAAAATAGCAGCTCCCTGCACTTCAATAGCCTCCTTCCCAAAAGCAACCACTGTCACTACTTTAAGCTAATTATTCTGTATTTAAAGAAAGTTCTCAAGCCAGCCCTGATAGCCTAGTGATTCAAGTTTGGTGCTCACTGCTTACGCAGCCAGGTTTGCTTCCGGGTGGCGGAACCACACAACGTATCTATCAGCTGCCATGCTGTGGTGGGGGCTCACATAGAAGAACTAGAATGACTTACAACTATGATATACAACCACGCACTGGGGCTTTGGGGAGGGAAACAAAAAAAAGCAAGCTCTCTTTTCTGCAATGACCTCTATCTCACATATACACACACACATACCCCCCCATTTCTCAGACAAATACAGTACAAGAAAAGAAAGATTACATGCCAATTTCACTAGCATAAATACAAAAATCCTAAATAAATAGCAAAAAGGAGCCAGCAATTTGTAAAAAGGATAATATATCATGGTCATGTTGGTTTTATTCCAGAAATGCAAAACTGGTTTAACATTAGAAAATCAATTGTACAATTCACCATACTAACAGATCAAAAGGGAAAAATCATTTGATCATATCAACAGATAAAAAAAAAGTTTGATGAACTTTAACATCCTTTCATATTTAAAAAAAGAAAAACTTGGCAAACTAGGAATAGAAGGTAAATTCCTTAATCTGACAAACAGTATCTATTTAAAAAACTGACAGCAAATATCAACTTAATGATGAAACTCTAAAAAATTTCCAAGATCAAACAAGTAAGACAGCTATTTCCACTTCTATTCAATCCACCAACAAGTCTTAGTAGCTCTATTCCAAGTATATATTCCAAATCCATTCACTTCTATCTTCAATGCCACCACCATAGTTCAAGCTACCATCATCTCCCATGTAGAATACTGCAGTATTCACGTCACTGGTCTCCCTGCTTTCACTCTTATCCCCTTACAGTCCTTTATCCACATAGTAGGCAGTTATCTTCTTAAACATAAATCACATTTAAGACATTCTCCTACTTAAAACTCTTCAATGGCTTTCCATTGTACTGAGAATAACCTCTTCACCAAGACCTACCAAGCTCTACAACATCTGGTCCCTGCTAGCCTCTCACACTTTATACTTCATCTCATACCACTGTCTTCCTCAATCACTACACTAGTCACACTGGCATTACTATTCCTGCATACACAAAGTGCTTTCCTGAGTCACTGAATTTATATTTGCTATTCTCTCTTGCTAAGAAAGTCAAGAAAAGCACTCTTTGCAGCACTGTGTATGTCTCCTCTGTAGCATTACCACAACTGTAAGTTAAAAATCTGTTACGTAAATTAATTACTCCTGTTATCTTCCCCAACTACCCTTGCCCCAACAGCAAACTCCATGAGAATAGGGCTAGTGTCTCTTATGTTTACTGTTATATTCTGAGAACCTACCACAGTGCTTTGTAAATAATAGGAGCTCAATAAATATCTGCTGAATGAGTAATTAAGAAACAATTCTTTAAAGTTACCTTTATGATCACCCACTTGCAATATTCTCCTTTTGGGAATATTTTCAAATTTAGTGACATATTCACAGATAAAAATATTAAATATTATCAAGTCAGGATCACCTAAACATCTTCACTGAAATAGTCATTGAAGCCAAAATATAATGATGTACATCTGAAATTTACAGAATGTTATAAATCAATGTGACTTCAATAAAATAATTAAAAAAAAAAACTACCTCCCCCAAAAGAAACAGTCAGTGAGCATCATTCTTGTCTAAGGTGCAGATCAGCTGGCACTTAACTAGTGATGAGATTCAAAGCTTATTGAAGCCCCCTTTTTAAAATACTCTATTTATTACATAACTGTAAGTTCCACCTTCAAGAGAAATATGAGACCTTAGATCTTCACATTAAGCCTTATTCGTAAAATGCGGTAATGGTGGAACGCTTGATCACTGACACATTAATTGACTACTGACTGGTTCCAAAACTGTGCACCTGGCACAACACATGGGTGCTACAGCATACTCATAGAAGTGTCCGGGGATATTTTAAATTTTTGAGAGAAACAGCAATTCTTGACATCTGTCAGGCACTGTAGGCACACACAGTAGGCACTGTGTGAACTACTATCTCAAAATAGTACCTATTCACATTACATTAGTTTTGATAAAATATTATTGCAAAGCTGGATTTTTGGCAGATGCTGTGATATAAAGCAAGTACTTTTTATCAATGTGGTACAGGAAATGAGGGTGGCAGTGTTCAATCTGATTCCAAGACTTGAGAAGTTGTGCAGTGTTCAACAGGCACACATATTCAATTAGTAGACAACTGTGATTATTTAAGGACAAAATTAAAATATTACCTTTTCCTTCAATTTATACATATTATTTTTTTCAAATGGCTACTAAGTGGTTAGGACATAAATTTATTTCAACTTAATAACAACTTTTAAGTTGTTTGGACCTAACTATTTAACATAAATGGAACTGTTAGGTATTTCTTTCGGCCTAAGGGCACCAAGAGCCAAGAAAGTTTGGGAACTACTAATCTAAATAATCCAGAGGTCTGCCAACTGCAGCTACTGGGCCAAATGAGACCTTAAAAGTGTTTTTTTAATATTTTGAATGGGTGGTAGAAAACAAAACACAACAAAAAAGAATATGTGACAATGTCCACAACCACGTAGTCTGCAAATATTCGCTATCTAGCTCTTTGTCTACTCCTGCATTCACACTACAAATATCTAGAGTTAACATATTCCATAGTGTCCAATGATATAGGCTCTAGGCCTATGCTGCCCAATACAGTAGCTATTTAAATTTAATTAAAATAAAATTTAAAATTCAGTTCTTCATTCACAATAGCCACATTCCAGGTGCTCTAGTCACATGACTAATGGGCACCCTGTTGAACACTGCAGATACAAAACATTACCATTACCACTGAAAGCTTTATTGGACAGCACTGTTCTACTATCAATATCTAGAGTATCTTCTACAGTCTCATACTTAGCATCAAACACATCATTAATACCACTCCATTAATACCACATTTTTACTCAGTTTACATTTGTCATCCTGTAAACATTTCCAGCCACTCACATAGTCAAAAATTATAGTGTTTTGAACAGAACCTTTAATCAGCAAAATCTTACAATACATTAACTCCTTATCTCCGTATTCTTGCAAGTGCCACCTCAAATGCCACTTTCTCCATGAAGCCTCCTTTAGTCTCCATTGCCAAAAGCATCAAATAATCTCTCCTTTCTCCGTGCTCCCATACTACTTTACAATGTCCTATAATCCTCTACATTGTATTGTATTATCGTTATTTGTGTATCTTAATTATTTCTCTTTCTGGACTGTGAGCTCCTCTAGATTAGGGACTCTGAATCCGCTCCCAACCCTAGGACAAGACAACAAGGAACCCAATAAACAAATGAGGAATTCAATTGATTCAATTCAATTGAATGAAAACTTCAATCTTAACATCCAGAGTGAGCTCCGCTTTGGTCTTGTCTGTCATATCTCTATAAACTTATCTTTAAAATTCCAATCAGCAATTAATGTTTTTTCCTTAAACTCTAGCATTGAGATAAACAGCAAGAAAAGGGTCCTTAACTCTGAACTAATAATGGACAGAGGAAGATTTTTTAAAACTCATTTGTGGCGTACCAATACTGGCTTTATTTGTTAATGTTAATTTTTTGCAGGAAACCAAAAGTCTGCTCAGTGCTGCCAGCACTCCGACCAGACCCGGTAAATAAGCCACGGCAAGCCGCGAGTTTAAAACCACTGATCGCTGTCACTTCATTTACAGCTAAGACAAGACTGAGTCAGAAACACAAGCAGCGGGGAGCTCCCCAGGGGAGAGCGGCAGAGGTACGAGGAGGAGGCCGGGCCCTGACAGAAGATGGCGGGGCGCGGCGGACCCGGACGCCGAGAGCCGCGGACAGGCAGTCCGAGCCGGCCGGGCGAGGGGTCCAGGCGGCTGGAGAGGTGCTAGGCAGGCGGCCGGCGGCACAATGTGCAGGCCGAGGTGAGGAAAGCAAGCGGCCTGCACCCGGGGAGAAGCGTCTACTCTGGGCCCGGCGCTTTCGGAAGCCGCCGGGCTGAGGGAGCGTCCCCGACCTCCCGCCGCGGGGCCTTCAGAGCGCTCAGACAATACCTAAAGCCCCCCCCCCAGAAGCCCAGAACGAGAGTCATTCTCTTTACCCGCCGCAGCCCAACTGCTTCACAAATTCTCTTCAGACTTGTTTGGGGTGCGCGCGCCCCTCAGACCAGGGCCTCACCGCCGCCGCTCCTCTTCACCTCACAACGTCCAGACGGCCTCAGTGAAGTATTCAAATCTAACCGCCTAGCTGGTGCGCATGCGCAAAGCCGCTTTACGCGTCGGCTCCGCCCCTTAGACTCCAGAGCCGCCCCATTCCTAAGACTGCTTTAATCAAACTTCCTTTCCAGCCTAGATGCCAATTTTATTTCCTTTAAGGTTATCTCTTTTCTACCGGGTTTTCCTTTATCCTTCCCCATTGCAGATCCCCCTTATCATGGGAGCGGCCATCTTCTTTTGATCGTTTGCTGTAAGAAATGATCGGATCTTTGCTTCCGTACAAAATGGCGGCCTCCATAACATTGCGTCACATCCCCCTAGTATTACTCCCTATAGCTACCAGGAAGAGGTAGGCTTCTGGGACGAGGTGGCCGAGTGGTTAAGGCGATGGACTGCTAATCCATTGTGCTCTGCACGCGTGGGTTCGAATCCCATCCTCGTCGAAAGGAAGCTCTGTCTTTTTTTTTTTTTCCCCCCCCTCCGCCTTCAGATTTGAAATTTATTCGCGGAGTGGAAATAGTTGAATATTCCAGTTATGATATACTAGTCAACTTAGCACCATCAATCTCAGGTTTGAGATATGTGAAAGACAGCTTTTGGAGCGTTCTGACTTCACAGATAAAAGAGAGGGAAAGAGACATCAGAAAATGTCTATGCTGGATTTAATTTATGTTTATATGAAGTAAACAGCGCATAGAATTCCACGATTATTACCATCCTCATATGTTCCATCCTCATATGCTTGTCTGCTCCATATTAATTAACCGAGCACTTGATTGAGGGGTCTCAATTATTCTGGACTCTTAACTCAGGGTTTTTAATTCGTACCTGTCCTTACTGTGAAATATGAGCTTTCACTTCAAAAGCTACCGAGAGACGCAGTGTTCAGGATTCTCTTCCAGCCTCCAGTAGGCTGCAAGTGCTCAAGAAAAGTATACACTGGGAAACATTAAACAGATGTTGACTGCATGTAGAACCTTGGTAGTAGTATCTAGAAGCCAAACACTGAAGACCTGAAACATGGCTACCTTCCCAGCGGAGAAGAAGGTGTTAAATCGTCTCTTGGATTTAAGCAGAGAGGCAGGAACAGGGAGCAGAAAAAGAATAGATTTCCCTCTTGAAAGGTCATCAGGCAGATTCATTCAACTCACATTTAACAACCTTTATTTATCCAGTATTTATTATCCACAGGCACCACATGAATTACGTCACTTTAACTCACCATTACCCTAGGATCATGATAGACATTTTTATTAGTCCATTTTGCAGATGAGGACGCTGCAAGATAAACTTGCCCAAGGTTATACAGCTTTTCCATAATTGCAGAGAGGGCAGTGTTACCCAAATCTGTCGAACTCTGGTGGCTTTTAACCACCATCCCATACCGCGCTGGAGATTGGTAAACATCGCTCCTTAATCCTTTACGTTAGTGGTTTACACATTCTCTCCGCACCGCACGGTACCCCAGAGCCTGGCGCCTGACAGGTGCTTCAGCAAGGCAGTAGCCCCTGCTCAGCTGGCTCCACTGGCTTCTCGCTCTTAAATCCAAATCCATGGGCTGAAGGCTGCGAGTCACCCCAGCACCTGTCTTCAGCCTTGCCTCCGATGTATTTGCCACCCGGCTGCTAGGAAGGGTTTCTATCCGGGTGCTACTCACCCCCAAGGGGTCCATGGATAGAATTCAGTTGGTTATTTAGTTGGGGAAAAAATTGCATCTTTATTTTCACTAATCTCTAATTGAAAGCACTTCCTTCAATAAAGATAAGCAACAAACTGCAGTAATGTTAACCTACCTGTGATTTTGTCACCAATAGAAATCTCAGATATTTTTATACCACATTACTGTTATTGCTTTATGCTCATCACTACTTCAAAATAATGGTAGTTATTAGACTTGCCATTAGATCTTGTAATGTTATGCATTCATAAAGAAGTACATACATTATTATATCACAGATTTTAAGAAATATTTTGATAACTGTATTCTAATGTAATCGGTTGCCTTTGTATTCCAACAAACTTAATTTTATGCATTTTAAGACAATATTCTGAGAAGGGACCTATAGGCTTCACCAGACTCCCAAAGAGGTCTATGTCACAAAAAAGGCTAAGAGCCCCTGAGGGACTTTTCTAAAGTTCCCTCAAGACACTGAATCAACTTTTCCTGAACCGGGTGCCAAGACCTTTGCAGATGCTGTCCCTATTCTTCTCCCTGGAACATGCTCCCACTCCCTCACACCTCCTTCCCATCCACCTCTGCCTGGCTGGCTCCTGCTCCTTCTTCAGAGCTGTTTAGATGTCATCCCCATCAACAAGCCTCCCCTAACTCGGCAACCTGCAGCTCCTTCTTAGATTTCCCTCAACTAGTCCCTGTGCTCTCTCCCGCTTGTGGGCCTTTGCACCCCTCCTAGATGCTCCTGTGGCTCCCTGGGTTTTCCCCAGCACTTGCCAGACTATTTATACCGCCCATTAGTGCTGCAACCCTCTCAAGACCGGCAGGGCTGCATCATTTTTCTGAGTTTTGCCTGCTTCTTACAATGATGACTTCGTATAGAAAATTGATAAGGTCTATCAATGTGTCCAGTCTCTACAAATAAAAAATAAGTGGATTATTTTCTCAAAGGAAAATCTTCAGCTGTAGAAGTTCGGAAAACACAAAGCACTGAAAATGTCTAGAGGAAAAAAAAAAAAAGAAATTGTGAGTGGAAGCTTACTTTTGTATTCTTCAGTTCTTTACCTGTTTTCATGCTTAGTTCATTTGTGGTTTCTTTCATATGAAATTGCAGTAGGACTTGTTATGGCAGACCCAGTTTTTTGCATTTTTATGATCTTTTGATCTGTAAGAACAGTGTTTATTTTACCCTTTCTAAGAGAATCAAAAGAATCAACAACATGCTAGATTATTTAAAAGCCCAGGAAAAAAAATGCTTGGATTAGTAGTAATGGAAAAAGAAATTTAAAAGCTAAGGCAGTAAAAGAGTTAGAGGCGCCGTCTACTGGGGCAGCTGCAACTGTAAAACTTGGACAAGACAGTTCTATAGGAATGGCGGCTTCGTTTCGAAAGATCCCGGTTACTTTCCAAAATTTGTCAACAAACCACAGCTCAAGGAAACCATTCTTCATCGACACCGGGGTTCTTCACAAGTCCTATCCTGAACTATCACAGGACTTAATCTCTGGAAAGAACCATTGCACTGTCAAACGCATTACCAAGCTATTGCAGCTCTCTTACTACTTCAGTGCCAGGAAATGGGTCTTCATTCTCTGAGTCCAGCTTCAGGAAGACCCATCCTGTCCAGAGAATGAGGTGCTCTGGGAGGAACAGTCCAATGTTTAGCTGGTGATAATCTGCACCCCAGGCAGGCCCATATGTGTCAGCAGCCCTTATATGATGTAGCTCTGAAGGAAGAATTGAAATCCAATAAATTTTTTTCTGTACCTACAGTTTGTTTCTTAACTCTCACAAGAAAAACTCAGACCCTGGGCTGCAAGACTCGCAAAGATTGATTTGAGAGGCAGGCAATGACAGAAGTGAGTTCTGTTTGTTCCTTACCATTAGGAAGTGTGGTCCCACTGGAGAACCATCTCCAGGAAGAAGGTCATGACAAGGCCTGGAGAGGTTCAAGAATAAATCCAGGCATTCTCAGAGAGTCTGCAACACCAACCCAAAACATTTTTCTTTGCTCAAATCATTCTCTGAGCTGCATGCTATCATGTGAAAAACATTGACTTTGCTATAACAGCTCTGGGAATATCTGCTGAGCTGAAAACAAAATAATTTTTTCATGTGAAAAGTCAATAGAGTAAAAACTGAAATCTAGTTTATACTAACCTTGCTTAGGAAAGATAAAGTGAATAAACACCAATAGACGAGGAGAAATGGGGAATAACACTTGTGATATCCCATGCTTTGTACGTTCTGCTGAGATAGCTATATACAACAACAGTTGTATAGCAAGAACCAATTACACCTTTCCTTCTCATCACATTGAGGAGGAGCAATGTCTCAGATTTCAAATTTCAAATTTTCATTTGAAATCTCCAAAATGAGGTAAAACTGAGTCAAACCCAATTCCAATAGGGTGAAGTTAATAGATGAAGGCAAGACCTGAGGACATGACCCATGATTCCATGGAGTTAGAAACAGAAGTAATAATTTCTTTTTTGATTGTGATACTATGGGCTAGTAAATTTTTCATACTTCTCTTTGGGCTAAATAAAAGGTCAATGACTCTGGGCACTTTTTCCCCTCTGGCTTTCTCAAAGATTCTGATTTTCTTGAATATTCTTATCTGAACATTTTGATTTATATTTATCAATTCTAGATAAAATACCTTCAGTAAATGCTTAGAAGTGTTATTGATGGACAAATGAAGGCTGCATTTGTTCTGGACTATGACAGCATATAGAGTGATAAAAACAGACCATTAAAAAGTCCAAGTCATTTCAATGATCAATTTTCTGTTGATAGCTGATACTCATAGCTATGGATTTAATATTCTGATTTTTAACATCTTGAATGACACAGAAACTTGACATCTGAAAAAAATCTTTTTTTCTTTCAGCCTTTAAAAAATTGAGATAGCTCCTTGACAATGGTTTCTATGTAGTCACTGAAAAGATCACTTCCAATCAACTCTCCTTTCAATGACTGTCAGTAATCATTTTTTGGTATAATCTAGCAAGTAACAGAGGCAGCCTTTATTTTAGCCCATGATGCAGGACTTTAAAAATAAATTTTTTTTGGCTTAAACAACAGAACTCCAACAATTCTGGAGACTAGAGTCTGAGATCAAAGTGTCAATAGAGTTGGTTCCATCTGAGGGCTGTGAGGGTGAATCTGTTCCACACCTCTTTCCTAGCTTCTAGTGGTTTGCTGGCAATCTTTGGCTTGTAAAATTCTTAATCCTTACAATTTTGCCTCACTTCTGATTCTGGAAGATGTAGCTTTTAGGATTAGATATAAAGCTATTCTTTTAAAATTCTTAACCTACCTTAACTTCAACATTTAGAATGTTGGAAAGTTTACAAGAAAAAAGAACTAGAAAAATTGCATCATTTATTACTTACTTGAATTAC